GATCTTCRGAACATGCTGGCTTCTGTCTGCTGACATCCAGGTTTCTGTCCCCTGCAAGGAACTCGCTGCTCTTGTGAGGTTCTGGGATCTGTGTGTCTGGAGGCATCAGAGCCAGTCTGTTTTGTACGTGGCTGGTCCAGCATTGTCCTTGTTGCTGGGAGAGCTGATGGTTCAAGAAGAACAGAGTTGAGGCAGGAATAAGGGTGAATGGCATGGAGCACATTTCTAGTAATTGGGAAARCTGGCATCTCTTCCTGGGAATGATGGGGAAACAGCTCAGAAAAAGAGAGCAAAATGAAATTCCAATTGTAATTGATTGCTCTCTGCCCTGACACTTCAAAATGGGCATGAAATCCAGTCAGAAAGTACTAAGTACTAACTACTTGTTACTGGGGTTGTTTTCAATTCTTTTAACTTTTACTAAGACACAGGTTGTCAGCAAGTACCCATGTGAGAAAAGCTGCCTTGAAACAGGAGCCAACCAAAAGAGAAACAGTGAAGTTTAACCATTTCATTACTGCCTAGTGGATTTTGTGGAAAACAAGTCTGCAAAGTTTTGGTTCTTTGCCCAGCGCRATCTTCTCAGGTAGATTGTTTTTTCCCCGGGCAGCAAAACTCAGTGGCTGTACTCAGGAGGGGTGGCATGTGCAGGGCATTTGAGTGGACCGATAATGAAGCAGGCCGAATGTCCTCTGGGCTTATCTCACCCAGGCATCTGCTCACAATTCAACACTTGTAGTCATGGTGCCAGCTGGCGGGACAGTTTTCCTGATGCAAATTATTCATCCGTTCTGAGGGGCCTGAATACAGGGAGGCCTTTTGTGTGCAGAACRAATTCCTAACTTGGGGGAAAAGGGAGGAGTTTCTAAAGATCTAAATGGCATTTGCTGACATTTTTCCAGTCTATGGGTTTTAGCATGGCACATTTCCTGGTGGACCTTGGGATACTGAATTTGGTGATGACCCAGCTGAGGGAGGGCTGTCATTGCTGGAGGCAGCAGGCCAAGCCCAGCAATGTGAGCAGGTTGTTTGGGGGAGCATCTCCTGGATCAAACARTGCTGAAAGTTTTCAGTGCCTCTTCTGCCACCTCTCTCTCCTGGCACCCAGGACTTGCTCACTCTGTTGAATCTGTAATTGCAACATTGTCTTGAAGGCTGGTATGTGTGCTTCCTTACACCAGAGAGATAGGTATTRAAGGTTTTCTAGATAATGCTGAATTGTCAGAGGGGGCTGGTTATGTTGTCACCTTGTCACTTGCTGGTGAACAGCTTCATGCCTCAGAAAAGATGCAGTTTTAGAGCGTATGGCTCATGATTTTGAGCTCTGGATGCTCTAAACATGACAGGTTGCACTTCTGAAGTGTGGAACTTGTGGYCACTGATTCCAACATGTGGAATTCTTCTACCACTTCTCAATGCCCACGGGAAATACTACCTGACACATGACACTATCAGTGTTCTAACCCATACTGGGCTCCAAGTCAGTACCAGCTTCTAGGAACATGAGAACAATGTCTTTTTGTCTTCCCAATGTGATTTTAAAAATGCCTTTCACCTGGTTATTGCTGTCACCATTTCTCAGCAACCCTGCAAAACATGAAAGCAGCCTGGGCTGCTTATCTTTGCTAGAAAAAGGCTCTGCAACCTCAAAGAACTGCCAGGCTGCTAAGCACATTTATATTCAATGTGAACTGTGGGGGAACACATTTCCACACTGTGTCAGCTGGTCTTGGGTAAACTCCATTTTTCCAGCAGTATTTACCCAGCAAGGCACCACAGCCACTCTCCGTGCATTAACTGCATTCCTCTTTAATGCCATTAACCGGACTGCTCAAGGARTTATGCTGCCAGCTGCTAGAAATGTCTTTTTTACCTGGGTTGCTCACTTGGGRGGGGTTTGAATGCATTTTTCTTGGCCTGCCATGTAAAACTGCAGATGAAAAAAGGAGGGTCCTTGCCATTTAGTAGAAGGGGTTTCCATGGAAAAAGTTTTCATGCTGCCCAGAGTGCAGTTGGCATGTGCTGTGCCTTTRGCTGAGCTGGGGCTTTCACAAAGAACTGTGGGAGACCTTGTCAGGAAACAGGGATCATAATCCAGTTACAGTGGAGAGGGAAAAAAGTCATTCTTTTCCGGGGCAAGCAGCCTGTGACCCAGCTTTTCATCTAGAGCAGAAAGTTGTCTGTGTGTGTGAGTGAAAGCACATGCCCAGCCCCCTCTTCATTCCCCRGATTCTTTTGAAGCGTTTCTCCCGTGAAACCATCTTTATGAAGCCTAAACACAGGGGTTTTACTTCACATTAGAAGAATGCAGTACTTGTAGAAGAAAACTAACCACCTCAATTCAAAAGAGCTGGGTATTCCTGACTATTCAGCTGACACAGTTTAATGAAGTGACCTTCATTCTGTTGTCTCTGGCCTATTTTTTATCCCCACTTGATTCAGGGAATGGYGCTCTTGCCTGATGTTTTCCTGTTTTCACTTGTCATTAAAGTTGCCCAAAGAAATCCCACCAGGGCTGACTTTCAGCCTTACATTTTGCTTTACCTTGTCATGTGAGCTCAAAGAAAACTTAAAACATTCTAATTAAGCTRATGACACTTTTAATAGTGATAAAACCATGATAGTAACTCTGTTTTTTATTTGCTCTCCATCCAAGATGTTGGTGAAGTTCTGGCATAGGCTGTCAAGTTGCAGATCAACACATRCTGGGGTATTACTGAAGAAGCAAGAGGAGATATTTGCTTCTGGGGCCCTTTGCCTTTACCTGGAAAAGATGTGCAGTACATCCTGGGTTTGTTTCCCATGGACCTGAAAAAGATGTTTGTGCGTGTGCAGCCTATTGTCTTGTGCCTGTCTAGAGTTCCTRTGTGTGTACATTGTTCACCTCAAGCACATTTTGCCTTCAGTGAGGAGCCCTTTTGAGAAGAGCCTATGTAGCAAGAGAAACAGGAAAGCTGGGAGAGCCTGATTTGTACTTGGATRTCTGCTTCTTGCCTTCATTGAGATTCATGAGACAAACACTGCCAAATACGTGGAAACAGGATTCATCGCTTGTACCGGGGAGGGAATGCCTAAGCCAAGTTAGTGCTGAGTGTTGATCCTTTGGAAGGATGCAGTTTGRCATTAAGTGTACTTGCTTCTCACTTATCTTCTCTGTGTAAGAAGATCTCAGTGAATAATCAACCCCAAACCAACAGTGAGCTAGTACTGAGCAAGAGCCATGATTGTAAATRTCTGACTTCCAGTCTTGTGCTTAGCTCATCCATAACTGCACACATGATATAAATAGGAAAGGGTGTTTTGTGGCAAGTATCGGGGGTCTTGTGTCTCTGCAATGCCCCAGCTGTCCTGCATGTCACATGCAGACAATACTATTTGTTGGGTGGCTTAAACAGCAGATTGGTCTTTTTCTGTTCTTGAGACACAAGGGTCTTAAGTTTTTCAGGTGCTGTATGTCTTGATTTTTACTTCATATTTTTCTAGTATGTTGATTTCTGGACCCTGTGCTGTGCTTCTCCTGCTGCTTTGGTTCCTTCCTCCTGCCAGCCAGGCTCTGGGTGTGACATCCTACTGCAGGCCRGCCCTGGCCTAATCAGTTTGCAGGGCAGAAGCGTGGTTTGTGCCCTGATTCATGGCTGTCGGGTTGTGCGTGTGTGCTTTGAGAGCACTCTGTTCTTGGTGCCTGGTGCCGTCTGGTCTGCTCTCACTCGTGAAGGAGGTGAACACTTCACCAAGTGCAAAGCCTCATGTTAAAATTTAACATGGTACATGTTCACTCATTTTACAAGTTGAGGTTAAATCCGTGTGACTTCCACAGGCTGATAAAACCTGTTTCTCAATCAGCTGAAACTCTTCTAGTAGCTTTTTTATTTATTAACGAAAGAACTGGTGATGGCTGCAAGTTCTTAGAGCACTGTTTTTCTTGGAAGTGGTAGGAGCATAAAAGAGCATGGCAGGGACTAAACATCTGAGGTTTTATTCCAAACAAACCCCATGTTGTTTTAGMAAGCTCCCTACGTGCTCCAGGGTGTCCTGATCGTACACAGTCTGCTTGCTGAAGCGGAGCAAGAGCAGCTGACACACAGCTGTATGCCTCCTCCTGGGAACCCTTAGTCAGCCCCTTGGCTTGCATTGATGCTGGACGAAGGTGGCTAAAGAGTTGTGATCCTTTTCTCCTAATGGGTTCTCTCAGGAGTGTGACTCCCCTGGAAAGTTGGTTTATGTGCACAGGAGCAGCTGCTCAAGTCAGTGGAGAAGAGTCATGAGGGAAGATGATGTGCTGACTGCCACAGGCTGGTTAGGAGGGGAACAGAGGGCAAGGAAGTGGATTTTCTTTCATTCTTCTAGGAGATGGAGGACATGAGTAGCTTGTAAATCATTGCACTCTGATCKGAAAAGTGCCTTGGTGATTTTAGTCATATGGCATGGGGAAACTTTGACCTTGTTTGGTTTTTCCCAGGGAAATGAGTAGAAGAGGTTAGAACKCAGCAGTTCAGTGCTGGAGGAAAAGCTTTGTGAGCTGTAGAAAGAGTTTGTGGTGTTGTCTATTTAGGGAGGAAGCAGAGGCACAAACCATGCTCTATAGTGTGACTTATACCTCTCTGGTTAATGCTGTTTCTCCCACACATSTATTTAGGAGAAAGATCATCAAATGTCATGATTAACTTGGGCCTGGCCTTAAATGCACACAAACTACTCATGGGTCTGATGTAGTCTGTCATCTGTTAGGGATGTCTGCGGGAGAGAATTGCAGCCTCTGAGATGTGTTTGGTTGTGCAGAAGCTTGCAGGTCTCTTTGTTTAGCTACTCAACCTGCACTCAGCTTCTGCTGTTGGTTCCTTCACCTTGTCTTTGCTTGGAGATACTTCTGGTGTTGCTGGACACACTCATCCTTCTGGATGGTGCTGGGAGATATTTCTTCAGAGGGAGAATTGTGGTGCAGCTCTTTCCCTTCTTTCTCAGTCTGAGTCTTTCTCACACGTGTCTCTGCTCCTGTCCAGGAAAAGCCTTTGACATCACATACGTGCGCCTGAAGTTCCACACCAGCCGGCCCGAGAGCTTTGCCATCTACAAGCGCACGCGGGAGGACGGCCCGTGGGTGCCCTACCAGTACTACAGCGGCTCCTGCGAGAGCACCTACCGCAAAGTCAACCGCGGCTTCATCCGCACCGGCGAGGACGAGCAGCAGGCGCTCTGCACCGATGAGTTCAGCGACATCTCCCCTCTCACCGGGGGCAACGTGGCCTTCTCGACGCTGGAGGGGCGTCCCAGTGCCTACAACTTTGACAACAGCCCCGTGCTGCAGGTATGTGATTGGGACTGCATCRGTCAGGTGCTCTGAGTTGTCTTCTTGTTGAGTCCCTGTGGGTGGTGGTGTGCCAATTAGGCTGTACTGCAGCCCTTAGTCTTTACTGAAAGGCTGTTGTGCAGCTCAGTTGGGGTGGACAATCCACAGAGATGCTTTTGAAGGAAGAGTTGAGCTCTTGAGTCTGGTGGTAAGTTTATGGCACAAAATAGCAAAACTGGTGTCATTAAGGGTGATTTGCCATTAGGCATYGTGGAAGTCTTCAGAGCATGAATGCAAATCTCTGCCTGCTTGGAAAGCAGCTGTGGGTATTTTACTATTGTTTCACATGAAAGGACAGAGGAAGTTAAAGTCTCAATCCAATTAATATTTGAGGCATCTGCATGTGTATTTCAAGCAGAAAAATGTAAGAAATRTAAGATTCTTCTAAATACATAAAGCATTATAGGAATCTCTCCCCTGTTGTCTTACATGTGTGTTGAAGCAGAGGAGTTTGATTTTATCCTCAGTCTTTATCTCTCAGGAGTGGCTTGACAAGGGGGATTGGCAGGATTTTTTTGTTGTTGGACATTATTGAAGGTTTTTTCGCATTCACAGCAGTGGCTGGGCAGCAGTCAGGAGCATGATAGGAGCACCAGTTTATCTGATTTACTTGCCACTTCATGTGTTTTCTTGATGACTTCTCCAGTTTATATTGCAATAAGGAGCAAAAGCTGTGGGGTTTGCCTCGCTGGGGCTGGGTGTCCTCCTTTTGGAGCTGTAATTGCCATCACTTTCCTTTGCTCTTAGAGCAGCAGGAGCAGGCTGAGGTGAGCACCCAGCGGGCTCAGGGCTCACCCATCTCTGAGTCCCAGGCAGGAGAACAGAATCTGGGGGGGGGGTTTCTTCTGCAAACAAAAGTGAAATGAAAAATAAAGATTAATGGGAAAGACAGAACTTCTGAAGTGGAAAAGAACCAGTTTGGCCACCTTGTTGATGTAGCCAACCCTTGCAGAAAGCCATGTCTTATCATTAAGATGAACCAGGAGATTTTAAGTTAGCAATATGTATAATTTTCTGATAAAATTTCCTATGTAAGGAATGGAGAYTTGACTGCCAGTTTCCTAAGATATGTACCAGTCCCTGATACTGCTTTACAGAACTGCAGTAATTTCAGTATTTAAATTAACAATAAATAAATAAGTGTATTTTCTGTTGGCATTTGCATGTGTTTATTGTCAGCGTTCATAATTCAGTAACTCAATACTATGTTACAGGCTGAGCAGTGGCACAGRTACGTCACAGTTGTACGTGCAGGGATGTTTTCCTGTGTTCTTTTTTATYGTGTTTGTAGGAAAATAGCATTGTAAAAGCCATAATAAAACCAAGGAGGTACCAGTGCCAGTGGCTGGCAGAAGGTGACGTGAAATTTGGCGACAGGCTGTGTTTGCTGGCTGCTGCTGCGGGAGGGCAGGGCAGTGTGTAAGATGCTGTGTAAATATTATGGAAAACTCTTGTGTTGCAGGTCAGATCTGTCTGTCTGTCTTCCTCAGCCTCCCCTGGCCTCACCCATTTGTATGTCTGTGTCTTTTAGTCTGGGGCAATATGTCTGCAGACAAATGTACCCTAAAGCTTTTCCCATTGGGGCTGCATAGCTATGCAGGAAAACTGCAGCCAGGCAGATATGTACAATTAGCAGGCTGGCATAATTGCCTRCCCTGCACTCCTTGCTGGAGAGGTTACTCAGTGCTTCCCAGCTGAGAGAAGTCAGCATGTGAAGAGACATTGGAAAGGGTCTCCAGAGAGGAGCAGGGTAAGGRAAATGCATTTGAACCAGGAGGATGTGGTGTAAGGCCTTTGGGTCAGCTTCTGTGAGCTCCTGAGGTGCAGAGGAGAAAACGATGAGGAGGGAACAGGCTATTTGGTGAATGACTTCATTAACAGAGCTGCTAAGGACTACTACTCTCTCAAGGGGCATCTTTGATGTTTCATATGATGGGATTTCTGTCTGCTCTAGGAATGGGTGACAGCTACAGATATTAGAGTGACCCTCAACCGTCTGAACACGTTTGGAGATGAAGTTTTCAATGACCCAAAAGTTCTCAAGTCTTAYTACTATGCGATTTCTGATTTTGCTGTGGGTGGTAGGTAAGTAGACAGTAAAACACCCTGTGCTCACTGAAGTTTTCTGGTTAGTTTTGCTAGACTGCTTTAAAGATTTTGATTATATTCACATGATACCATTAGGCTCTGGTCTTTATTGACTGTCCTAAATCAAAAATGCAGTAGAATGAATTTTACGTAATTTGCAAATACTGTATGTAAGATTTTGTGGCTGTAATTCCAGGGCTGGCAGAGATAATTTTTTTCCTTGATTAGATGAAATATTAAGTGACTTGTGAGGGTAAATGGTAAAAAGAGTAACTAAAATGAAAAGCAAAAGAAGAAAWTTTTTTCTGCCCTGTGGTTTTTAATGTGTTTTTAAATTGTTCTCTGCCTGTATCTGTACTCTAGAATAACAGTAACTAGAAAATGTCATTGTCTCTACTTCACATGTGTTTAGGGAGCTATCTTCTTTGGAGCTCTGGAACATGGTGTAACACAGTTATGGTTGTCCATTCCTTTTGCCAAAGTCTGTTGCAGAATGTTTAAACCCTAARTTGTGAATGACAAAATGTTTTAATAAACAGAGATGAGACCAGTGTAGGGTTTTGGACTGTTTGCAGACAGTAGTCCTGAGCCTGGGATTTGGCCRCGTGAGATTTGTATTGGCTGCACCACCCAGTCTGGAGGTCCCTGGGCTTCTGTATTAGTCACCTTTGTGCTATTTCATTTTCTACTGATACCGCAATAGCCCACACCCAGTGAACATACCATGTTCTGGGCTCTCACGAGAGAGAAGCKGTGGAATATTTTCTAAAATATTAGCCTAAAGCCAGCTAAATCTTTGCTTCTACTCAGCTTACTCTGAAGGCTGCAAAGAGTTAGTTAACTTTCTTCCTTTTCTAAATGCCTATCTGGAGCAGGCTGCACTGCTATTTCATAGACTAGTTCGGTTTGGAAGGRGCCTTCAGAGATCATCCAAGCCCCATTGTGGGCAGRGACACCTTCAACTATCCCAGGTTGCTCCAAGCCCCRTCCAGTCTGGCCCTGAACACTTCCAGGGATGGGGTAGCCACAGCTTCTCTGGGCACCCTGTGCCACTGTCCCACTACCATCACTGCAGAACACTGTGTCCTTATGTCCACTCTAACACCACCATCTTTCAGTTTAAARCTACTGCCCCATGTCCTACACTACTGCCCCATGTCCAAGCATTACAGGCTCTGATAAAAATGTTCTCTCCATCTTGTAAAACCCCCTTTAGACATTAGAAGGCCTTCATGAAATATCCCTGAAGTCTCCTSTTCTCCAGTCTGCATGACAGTAGTTTTGTTCTCAATTTTGTTGTGATCATCTGCCTTTGAATTTGTCTCATCTTAGATTTTCAGATCTGGGCCATGGTTTTTGGGGTTGTTTTGTGAGTGACCTRGAGTCGTGGCATTTTCATACCTGTTCCTTGCTTCTCCTGAACCAGGTGCAAATGCAATGGACATGCGAGCGAGTGTGTGAAGAACGAGYTCGGCAAGCTGGTCTGCAACTGCAAGCACAACACCTTCGGGGTGGACTGTGAAAAGTGCCTTCCTTTCTTCAACGACCGCCCATGGAGGAGAGCGACTGCGGAGAGCGCCAATGAGTGCCTGCGTATGTGTGGCCGCACCTGGGGAGCCGGGGACAGCCTGTCCGGGGCAGGGTCTCCTGCCTCTGCTGACAGCCACAACCTGGCCCTGCCTGCTTTGAACTTGTCTCAGTTACAGTTAGCCAGCACTAAGCGCACTTGATGGGACTATTSCTCATTCCACTCCTGTTCTGTAGGAGCCTTCTGGTAGATCCCTGGGATTAGGCATCTCCTTTCTGGAGAAGCATGGGAGCCACCTTTAGGAAAGAGGTGTGCTGCAGAAATGTACRGGCTTGTACTTTTTGGGACCCATAGGAAAAAATCTGTTTCCTATGCTGGAGTGTRATTGCCCTTTCAAAAGCTCCTCATTTAGTGTCAGCTGTGTTTGGGTTATTGGTTTTTACAGTTACTTGTAGATTATTTAATCTATTTTCTGGACCACAAATGCAGCTCTCTGTCACGGAATACCAATTTGCTCTGTGTTTTGTCTCAGACCACAGCTCTTGGTAGTTTACTTTATGGGGAAGCTTTTTCAGACAGAGAAGCTTTCTTCCTGTCTGACCTCTGTGTGTCTAGATCGGTCCCAGCTGTCTGTCTTCCCTCAACAGACTGGTGAAACTGGGGTGTCCTGCTGTCTAGGGATTTGCAGTCCAGAGGAGAAGCTCTGTTACAGCATGGAGTAGCTTCACATTACCTTCTCATGCTTGTTTGGATGATGGCGATCAGTGTAGCTCTGTGTGAGGGAAGCATTTTGGCTGCAAGTGGCAGCCTGGTGCGAAAGGATGTGGGGTAGAAAATGCTGGGTTTCATTTGGGCATTGATAAGAATGATCTCGAGTTTGTTTCAGGTCCTGGAGTGGTTAAAAGCCGCTACCCCAGCTCCTCTGCAGCTTATCCAGGCAGGGTGGGTTTTGTACTGTGAGGTCGGTCTGACGGTGCCCTGTCTTTGCAGCGTGCGACTGCAATGGGCGCTCCCAGGAGTGCTACTTCGACCCCGAGCTGTACCGTGCCACGGGCCACGGCGGCCACTGCACCGCCTGCGCCGGCAACACGGATGGAGCCCGCTGCGAGCGCTGCCGCGACAGCTTCTACCGCCTGGCCAGTGACGAGGCCTGCCTGCCCTGCAGCTGCAACCCAGTTGGTGAGCAGGGCTGCACACCTGGCTGCATGCAAACTTCCGTGCACAAAACACACCTCTTTTGGTCATGCAGCTCATTGCAATTCTAGGGCAAAAAGAGGGGGGTTGTTTGGATTTCTTTTTTTTTGCTTTTTCTACATGCAGGAAATGTGTATTRGGTTTATTTTGGTTTAAGTTATCCTTAGATCTAAAGGGGGTTAGAGTGGCAGGGGCAGATGGGTCACTTCTGTAGCACTTTCTCCTTCAAATATATTCTGAAATAGATTTTTTTTTTCCACTGTGTATGTGTTACCCTGGATGCTCCCAGTACTAAAGAACTCATTTAAATTCTTAATAACCAAGATGATGTGAGTGGGTATTTCTGGAAGTTGTTCATGCTGAGGAATTGTGGTGAACTTTAGCTGCTGCATCAGTTTCTCCTACTGAGTATCCAAGCACTATAAATACAAACCAGTGAAACATTAAACACARAAGTGGGTGGGGTGAGATAAAACAAAGTACACTCAAAATATGTAGTTAAACTTCTTTAAAAAATAACAGGGAGAGGGATAATTCTGGCAGGAGACCAAATCTTTTGTGGTGAAGGGATCCACTTAACCTRTAAGGAGTGATCCCATAACTACACCAGCCCACAGCCCGTAAAAGGGAAGGAGGCAAAAGGGTATCACACAGGAAGATAATGATGTGAGGTTTCAAAAAAGTAGCTGGAATTGCTTGTAGCAAGTCATTGCTTGCAGTATACCCTAAAAGCAGCCAGGGAGAGGTCTGCCAGGGTGCATCTATCTAATTTGGTCAGGGAGTCATTCAGTTGTGAAATTTTTGACCAATAAAGGCCGTTTCTTCTTCTGACTGCTCTCCCAGGTCCTTGTGTCAGACCTTATTTTAAGGGGGGTGTCAGCTGAGGTGGTAGAGAAGGTRCAGGGAGATGACTTCTCAGGTGTTTAAGGACAGTTCTGAAAGGAYTTTGTTACTTAGCCATGGGTTTGTATGCCATAGCACACTGGCACCCAGGATGTATTACAATCTCCTGGATATGTTTGGATTGTTATTTTTTGTCCAAGTATTCCTTTTTCTTAATAATCCTAAGTGGGACTGCAGAGGGGATTTGAACTTTGGCTGTATATGGTAAAGGTTTTGTGAGTTCTTCTGGCCCGTCCATCCTAATCATTTTATAACTCTTCACTTTGCTGTAATCTTCTGGTGTGGATTGAAGTGGAAACAAGCAACTATTTCTGTATATTAAAATATTTTCTTACTGGCTGTTAACTCTTAAAGTCCTGACACCTCCGAGGCTGCCAGCTGCGTGGATGCTTGGGAGAAAGCATTTTGTCCACTGTGGATTTGAGAAACCTGCTACTGCTTTTTGTTCAAGACCACTTGAACGGAGCAGTACTGAAGAAGGTGTCCTTCTAAAAAYGAGGGTTTTGCTCAAGAGTTTACTAGGATTCATAGTGGCACATGCAGCTTYACTCCAAGGAGGCAGTTTAGTCTTTAAATCCAACTTAGGAATCAAGGAAATAGGAGTGGAAAATGAGAGGTCAGGGAGAGGTGATGTGGTGATTTGGGAATGCAAGGGATTCAGGTAATAAAATCTTGGAAATTACCTATTGCAGAGTAAAACAGACATGGAATTGGAGGCATGCAAACGTAGCACTGAGGATGGATCAGGAGAAGTTATAGTTTACATATAATTGTTGTTTGGTTGATAGGAATAACAGGCCGAGTATAGTTTGGAMAGACTAGATGACAATTCATCTGTCTAGAGCTGCCAGGGGTAAAAATCCCTGTGAACTAGAGGCAGTCTTTGGGTGAGCTGTCACTTATCAGCTTGAGGCTATGCTTCCCACTTTCTTCTTCCTTATTTTTTGCCTGTTTTGTTGAGTTTCGATAGCTGATGGAGCCGTGTGTGTGCTGAGGTGCCTGTCTTGCTGTCCCCACAGGCTCCCTCAGCACRCAGTGTGACAGCTACGGCCAGTGCAGCTGCAAACYGGGCGTTATGGGGGACAAGTGTGACCGGTGCCAGCCRGGCTTCCACTCTCTCTCTGAAGCTGGGTGCAGGTAAGGAGGATTGCAGCTCTCTGAAAGGAAAACCAGAGTTTTTGTAAAGCTTTCTGTSTGTGGCTCTTACTGGGCTGTCCTCTCTCATGACTCTCTCTCCCAGGCCCTGTTCTTGCAATGCTGCTGGCAGCACAGGGGAATGCAACATTGAAACGGGGCGGTGTGCGTGCAAGGACAATGTGGAAGGATTCCACTGTGAGAGGTGAGTTTTTCTTTCCTGTGGCTTTGTTTCAAGAATGAAAAAYATTTGAGCGATGACCTGGGGTTAAGCATCAGGGAAATAATTCCCGTTCCTTCACATTTTCAGATGCAAGCCTGGATTTTTCCATCTGGATTCCTCCAATCCAAGAGGCTGTACTCCCTGCTTCTGTTTTGGACACTCTTCAGTCTGCACCAGTGCTGTGGGCTACAGTATCTATAGCATCACCTCCAACTTCCAGTTTGGTAAAATTGAGTTTTCCTTTGTATCTCTGGCTGTAGACTCGAGTCCGAAGCGATTAAAGAAATCCAACTCCTTCCTTTCTGTGCAAGACCACAAATCTTGGGCAGGCAGGTCCAGGATCCCTCTTTTGGAAGTGCTGAAGCTACCTGGAGCTTCCATATCTGCAACTTGTTTGTTCCCACGGGGAGGAATGGATTCACGGCTCTGGCCTCAGTACAGTTATTGTACTCTGTGCAGGTGCAGGTGCAAATTGCAAATAGAAACCTTTTCTAGCCTGAGAGGTGTGCTGACAAAGCAGCATTTCCTCAGTTCTAGAACCAAATCAGGACTTTCTRACTGAGAGGATCAAAATGACATTAGATTTGGGGTTTACATGGCTCTGAATAAAATACAGTTGTGTTTCCAGTGAGTCTGTAAGCCCAGGAAAAAAGTGTTTTTTCACACAGCCAGTTTCCTGTGTATCCATGTTTTCATGCTGCGTACTCTGAAAAGAACATCTTTTTAATTAAAATTCCACTGGAGAGCAGTTCATACAAAGGCTGCAACTCTCAACAAGTCGTAAGGGACTGCAGGATTTTCCTTCTCTGCTTAAGCTCTTCAGAAAGAAGGTTTTGSACAAAGAGTTCTCATAGGTTTGGAAGTCCAGAGTTTTCAAGTCAGCACCCAAGTTAGGGGCTTAAATTGGGAAGATGGTGTTTACTGTCTAAGTTACTCTGCACAGCTGGTTTCTGCAGCCTATCGGTGGCTGGGCATGTTAGATTAACTAAGACACAAACAGTGTGACGCAAGAAGTGTGTGCAAACCTCTTCCACCATCTTCCAAGGGTGTTAATCCTTGCCCATCTGATTTGCAGGAGAGGACGAGTGGCGTGCTGAGCAGCGCGATGGCTCTGAAGTCGTGCTCCAGTGGAGTCCTGAGACCCAGGATATCTCCGTTATCTCGGACACCTATTTCCCCATGTACTTCGTTGCGCCACGTAGGTCATTCTAAAAGGGTGTTTCTGTGCTGCTTGTGCCCTTTGTGTTCTGTCCCCTAACTGTAAGGATTTCTTCCCCTTTCAGGCAAGTTCTTGGGCAACCAGGTTTTGAGTTACGGACAAAACTTGACCTTCTCCTTCCGCGTGGACAGGCGGGACACGCGCCTCTCTGCGGAGGACCTGGTTCTGGAAGGGGCTGGGCTGAGAGTGTCGGTGCCACTCATTGCCCAGGGCAACTCCTACCCCAGTGAGAACACACAGACCTACACCTTCAGGTATGGTGGGAGCAGCTGGCACCTGGCCCACGCTGCCTTTGGCCTCTGAGCTCTGGAGGAAACAGAGATCATTAATTTTAACCTTATGTGGCTGATGTTGCAATAGCACAGCGCTGTTGCAAGGGGGGCTTGGAGAGAGTGCAGCTGTTTGCAGCTGAAAGCTGTGCTGATGATGCATGGCTCTTCTCCCCAGGCTCCACGAGGCTGCAGATTACCCGTGGAGGCCTGCTCTTTCAGCATTTGAGTTCCAGAAGCTTCTCCACAACTTGACTTCCATCAAGATCCGTGGGACATACAGTGAGAGAAGTAAGTTGCTGAACAGAGTGTCACAGAAGAGGGGGCAAACTCATTTGTCTCCTGTTTGGGCTTCTTCACTGTAGGGCCCAGCCATAAACAGCTGTGGCAGCTTAGTTGGCAAAGCTTGTGGCAATGGCTTTTCACCTGGCTTTCCTGTGTTATATCTTCTCTCAGGCCTCCTGAAGAGGGTATGGGAAAGAAAAGTGCTGTATTTGAATGTCTGGAAGCTGAACGCTTATCAGCTGCTGATTCCTTGCTCTAAACATGGGAATTTTGCTTTGTTGTGTAGTCACTGTCCTCCAGCTGGTAAAAATCCATAGTACAGTGTCCTGAAGGACATGGTAGGGTGTAGGAAGTGTACAATACTCGGCTTCAAGTTTTGTGACACTGGGGATGGGTACATCCCTCCTCTTTCTGGGTCTTCTCTTGGCATGACAAATGGGAAAGACAAGGTCCTGAGGTGCTGCATGTGCCGAACCTGAGTGGAAGTTCCTCATAACTAAGATTTGAAAAAATGGGCGTGAATTTGAAGCAAGAATGTATCCTTAAAAAATGCTGTGTGATGAATTTTTGCACAAAAGATGCAAATGATGAATTTGCATTTGGGAAAGGTGGGAAAACTGCAACTGTTTTCAGAAGGGCTGGCCCATAATGAGGAATGTGGCATTGTGAAATGGGAGGGGAGGAAAGATGTGGAGTAAACAATCCCTGAGTGCTGTAGCCATGGCTACAGTGGGAGCTGAGGTTCTGCTCAGTGCACTGGAGCTGCTGCAGTGGTACAAATGCAGTAGTATAAGTTAAAAGCCAGCTGTGTTGCRTCTGGGTTCTGTTTTGCTCCCGGGAAAGGGCTGGGAGTAGAGGGGGAAAGTGCTGAAATGCCAGAGGAAGGAATGGCTTGAGAGGAATAGCTGAAGAGTTTATCCTGAGGCATTGTTTGCAGACGTTGTATTGAAATTGCTGGAGAAATGGTCTGTTCGATCTTGAAAGCCAGGAATTGGTTTTGGTATTTGATTTGGAAATGGAAACTGTACACATGTGAAAGAGAACTTAATTTTAACTGACTTTAATTGCTCACCTGCTGTTTACAGATTCTCCTCTGCATTGTCTTTCYCAGCTTTTCTGCCCTGCATGTTCCCTTGCTGAGCTCCTAGTGCATCTTTTCTCATCTCTCTTAACTTTCCTGGAGGGCTTTGCATTTTAATTCACTTTTCCCAAGTGCAAGCACCCACTGGTCTGTCTTTTGTACTGCTTAGCTGTTGTTGGGGAGGCGGTGATGAGAGCCTTTGTGGTTACAAAAGGGTTTGCCCCTTGATTTTCTAGGTGCTGGTCACCTGGATGATGTCACCATCACAAGTGCTCATCCCGGACCCGGTGTGCCTGTGACTTGGGTGGAGAGCTGCTCATGTCCAGTGGGATATGAGGGGCAGTTCTGTGAGCGCTGCACCTCTGGGTACCGGCGAGAGACCCCGAGCCTTGGGCTCTACAGCCCCTGCGTGCCTTGCACGTGCAACGGGCACAGCGAGACGTGCGATCCTGAGACAGGTAAGAGGGGCTGACCAAATAGGGAGCGGCAACAGGGCAGTTCTTTCTTTCTGGGTTGGACAATGAAGCAACACCTGTGTCCCTCTCTATTCCAGGCATGTGCAATTGCAGGGATAACACGGCGGGGGCTCACTGTGAGAAGTGCAGTGATGGCTATTACGGCGATGCCACGGCTGGCACAGCCTCAGACTGCCAGCCCTGCCCGTGCCCAGGCAGCTCGAGCTGTGCCGTTGTGCCCCGCACCAAGGAGGTTGTGTGCACCAGCTGCCAGGCTGGCACTACAGGTGTGTTCCTGCATAAAACATCTTCTACATCCACGTGCCTGTGGAAACGTGTTTCCTTCTAGTTCTGGTTCTCTGATCCACAATGAGCAACTCTGAARGCTGCTGTGTCTTCTCGTTCAAATCCTTCTCCCTTCTTCAGCCCTCTTTTCTATCCTGTGTGAGGCTCTGGGTTTCCCATGTTTTTCATGCCTGTTTCTTGAGAACAAAAGGCTTGATCCTGCAAAGTCTGACCATTGTTGTGCAGTGTAGGTGAGCCATGCTGGCTTCTACTAGAGCTCTGGTGATGGCGTGGTGTTGGGCAGAAAATAGATTTGAAGGAGCCAGCAAGGCGGGTCAGACTGAAATAAAATTAGAAGGTGCAGTTTGCCAGCAAGAGAGACACTGCAGGATGCTTCCTAGGAAGAGCAGGAAGGTTGCAGTGACTCACAAACACTCCCCAAAAAAACACAAGATCAAACTAATGCTCAGCAATTTTAAGGAGAAATATGTGAACAGATGCAGATCTTTTTTTCTTAGCAATAAGCTGTGAAGTCCAAGCATGTAGCTGAGTTGTTAAGCAGAGACTTTTGTTCTGCCTGCAAACAGCAAGAATGCCATAGGATGGTTGGCAGCCTTCATGCTTTTCTGCTGATTTAATGTTTGGCATAGCAGAGTCCAAAGTGCAGAATACCTGTGAATTCTTGAGGCTTAGGAAAGTCTCTGACCAAGCAAAGAGGCAGCTCGTGCGGGTTCCTGTGGGTACCAATGCGTTGTGAACCAGAGCAGAGTCCGGGGCCAGGTTCCCTTCAGCAGTCTGCAGCAGCTGATCTTGCAGCTATGTGATTGCAGWAGAGTTCCTCGTGTCTCACACCAACTTTTTGGGATGGGAGGAAAAAGGGGGTTTGTATGTGCAAGAACTGCCTGGGAAATGGAGTTCACAGCTGGCTAGGGAGGTGAGATCTGCAGGAAGCATAGGAAGCTGCTGAACCTCAGTGGCTGCCCATGGAGGTTTGGCAGGTTTCATTGGCAGTGGAACTTCCTGGAGCAATGATGCCCCACAGAGCTCTACTTATTTGGATTCTTAAATTAACAACAAATTACAGCAAAAGGTTTTGCTTAAAGGGATAGGAGGGGAAGGAAGAGTGGAAATCATTCATAATGCAAAGTTCCGGAGAAATATTAGCTTGAATTAAGAGATGAGGAATGATTTGTGTCTGGCCCAAMCAGAAGGATGAAAAGGGAAGCTGGAGAGTTTACTTTTCAGAAGGGTCTGCAGAGGGGATCCATGTGAGATGGCAGCTGCTGCAGCACCCGTGTCTGTGTTGTGTCCCAGGCAAGAGGTGTGAGCTCTGTGATGATGCCTATTTCGGAGACCCACTGGGTGAAAATGGTGCRGTGAGGCCCTGCCGCCTGTGCCAGTGCAATGACAACATCGACCCCAACGCYGTGGGCAACTGCGACCGCCAGACTGGCGARTGCCTCAAGTGCATCCACAACACTGCCGGCTTCTACTGCGATCGCTGCAAGGATGGCTTCTTCGGGAACCCCCTGGCCCCCGACCCTGCCCACAAGTGCAGAGGTGAGACTTSCTTCTTCTTGCATTTAAAAATKATTTTGTCCCCAAGAGCCACTGTCAGGCTGTTGCTTGTGCCCGTTGGCTGCAGTGTGTAGCTTTACCCTGGTTTGGTGGATCAAGCTTGCTCAAATCTTTGTGTTTGTGAACACTTMGTGCCATTGAAGCAAAAGTGTTGTGCAATGCAGGGGTTGGGTGGCTGCATGGTGTGGATCCAGACCTATGAGGGTGAGTACCAACACCACAAGGGATTTCTAACTTTGTGCATGTTTCTCTGTACCTTTTTATGTCTGCAGCTTGTCACTGCAATCCCTATGGCACCGTGAATCAGCAGACGATATGCAATCAAGTGACTGGGCAGTGTGAGTGCTTGTCTCATGTCACCGGGAGGGACTGCAGTGCCTGTGAGCCTGGATTCTTCAACCTCCAGAGTGGACGTGGCTGTGAGAGGTGAGGTTTGCCTCTGCTTGGSGCAGAGAGACCCTGGTTTTGGAGGGTCTGTGCTTACGTTGTGCAGGAATGTGACATTTGTCACAAGTAACAGGTGTGCCTCTGTGCTGCTGTGGGTGGGGAAGTGCAGCAGTAGAGGAGCAGCTACTAATGCTGTACAAAAAGCCTGACATAAATAGCTTTATAAAGAGCTCTAAATCAGGGTTTTAAATAGAAAACTGGCACATGACTTCGTGATTGTAGCAGGGGTTCATGGGTTCCTTTTTTAGTGCAGGTAGCAAGTGACCTTGTATGGTTCAAAAGCTCAGTGCCTCATCTGCTGCATCTGCACAGCAAGAAATGCAGCTTTTGGCAAATGCAAATGTTGAGTTGAGCTCTTCAGAGAGGGACTTGCCCCATGTGTCCCTTCTGTGTCACACCTGACGTCCACCTGTCTCCCCCCAGGTGCAACTGCCACGCACTGGGCTCCACCAACGGGCAGTGTGACATCCAGACGGGGCAGTGCGAGTGCCAGCCGGGTGTCACTGGCCAGCACTGCGACAGATGCGAGGGCAACCACTTTGGCTTCGGCTCCGAAGGCTGTAAACGTGAGTCTGAGGGGCCACAGTGAGGCAGATGGGAAGGATATTGCGCACCCAGCTTTGCCTTTTCTTTCCTTCTGCCTCTGGGAAGGTACTTTGTCACCTCACTTTCCATCACAGCAGAAGTTGGCACTTCTGTGTCCACACTGTCATGACAAAATCTGATTTCTTTACTGTAGCTTAACCCCTTCTTCTTGTGTTACCTTTTTCTTGTTCGACTTACTAGATATCCAACTTAGTAGATTCCTACTTCTCCTTGGTGTAAATACATTCTCTGGATCTTGGCCTCCAAGAGCCCTATTTCCTAATGTGTTCCTGCACAGTTGCTCTGCAGATGGCCTCAGACAGATTCTCTCTTGAGGAGTGGCTGATCTTGTAAGCATGATTGCAAAGCAGGATGATCCAAACTTTATCCATTGATATCCCTGCCTGTAAAGAGCAGGAAAAGTAGCTGCAGTTGGTTATAATGAAATGGGGTAGAAAGGTGCTTCGTAGGAGAGCACCAGCAACACTGAACACACTCAGTTAAAGCTGGATCCTGCTTGTGAGTAGAAGCACTTCAATCAGGAGTGCGGTCCAGCTGTGCATTTGTACCCCATAACTCCTGCAGATGTTTTAGGATATCAAGGATATCTGCTCATCCTGTGAGTTTTAGACCATTTCTGCCTCTTGTGCAGTCTGAGTGAGGTTTAACTTCCCTGCAGCCTGCGACTGTGATCCTGAGGGCTCGCGCTCCCTGCAGTGCCAGGAGAATGGCCGCTGTGAGTGCAAGGAGGGCTTCGTGGGRAACCGCTGTGACCAGTGTGAGGAGAACTATTTCTACAACCGCTCGTGGCCAGGCTGCGAGGAGTGTCCAGCTTGTTACAGATTAGTGAAAGATAAGGTAGGGCCACAAACCGCTGGAGACAGTGGCACGTGTCCACTCGTGCAGTGCTTTGGCCCCTGGCTGTTGGGGGTTGCTGAAAGCACAGAGCCTCGAGGTTCTTTGCTGTGTCGTAGCTGTGCTGTGTCCCTCTCACGTAGGTGGCAGAGCAACGCGAAAGGCTGCGGGAGCTGGAAAATCTTATAGCAAACCTGGGTACTGGAGAAGACGCTGTAACTGATGAAGCCTTCGAAGAGAGGTTGAAGCAGGCAGAGAGAGAAGTTACGGAGTTGCTTCATGAAGCACAAAAGAGCAAAGGTGAGTTGACCTGATCAGACATGGACCAGCCAAATGAGTTCTCTGCCTGATGTTCCTGTTCCCTTTGGAGATAGAGTGTTTTATTTCAAGCCTGTGCTGTGCTCCAGGACTGACAGCTATTTCAGGCAGCACTGAGTCAGTGAATGTTATTAGCAGAACAGCAGTGCTTTTATCCATGCTGTTCTRCCAGCGGTCTCTGTTGTACATGGAAGGAAAAATCTGCCTCTAGCTCTGCATAGATGCAAGTGTTTTATGTGTTACCCTCTTCTCTAGATGCAAAGGAGGGCTTTATTTGTTTAACAAGCAGAAGACTTTCCAGTATACTTACTATGCTTTAAATTTGCTCAGACATCTTAGGGTCAAGCAGTTCTTGTTGGGATATCGTCAGTGATCAAGATGAAGGCTTCACAATCCTGATGGCAAACTTAATTATCCCACCACAAAATGTAGAATATTCTGAAGAGTGCTGTTTTTCCCGTTAAACTCTGCTTCAGATTGACTTTTGTATTGTCAGCCCTGCCACAGGATGTCTGTGAGCAGAATGTTTGTCATGTCTGCAGCAGCGATTTGTCCTTAGGGTCTCTTTAATGTATGAGATGATGCATGTTTTGGAAGAGAGAACGTTCAAGAAGACTATTGACTTTGCAGTAAAAGATGTTCCCCTGGGAGCTGGTTTAGTGATTTCAGACCACTTTGGAAAAATTTGTCCCCTTTGTGTGAAGCTGGGAAAAAGCTAACACGCACCTAATGCTGGCATTGGCTTGGGAAGATTCCTGCCAGTGAGAAGAGCTTTAGCTGAGGCAGACCTGTACTGCCTGCTTGSCATCTGTGCCCAGATAACAGTCCCACATGAGAGGGTAACAGGGGATTGGAGAAAGGTGAGGTAATAGATTTGGTTTTGGAGTGGAATTTTTGATCTCTCTTTTCATGTCTTGGAATCACATATTCATTTATTTGGAAAGACCCTTAAGATCAAGTCCAATTGTTCCCTGCCCCCCAGCACTGCTAAGGCCACCACTAACCCATGTCCCCAAGTGCCACATCCACATGCCACAGCTTTTTAGTCCGTCCAGGGGTGGTGATTCTACCATTTCCCTAGGCAGCTTTACCAGGGCTGGACAGCTTTTCCTATGAAGAATTTTTTCCCACTACCCAACCAAAACCTCCCCTGGCCCAGCTTGAGGCTGTTTCCTCTCCTCCTGTCCCTGTTCCCTGGGAGCAGATCCCGACCCCCCCGGCTGTCCCCTCCTGCCAGGGAGTTGTGCAGAGCCACAAGGTCCTTCCTGAGCCTCCTTTGCTCCAGGCTGAGCCCCTTTCCCAGCTCCCTCAGCTGCTCCTTATCAGACTTGTGCTCCACACCCTTTCCCAGGTCCACTGTTCTGTTACTAAAAGAGCGAGTTAAATGCAAAAAAACTACCCTTGCAAACATCTGTGCACACTTGTAGGAGTTATTTCTGTTTTTCCTGTGGTAGTATGTTTTTGAAACGTGTCGAATGTTGATGTTCAGTAGTAAAGATGTGCTGCTGCAAGGTCAAGGTATTTGGGAGAAATCTTAATTTTGTAGTCCTGCGGGCTTCTACTCGCACTTTAACTCTTGGTAACACTCTCAGCTTTTCAAAAGTAACTGCCTTGGTCATGAGGCACATACCTGTGCTGTGATGCCTCCTTTATTAAGCTGCTGTTGTGGGGATTTACCCGGTGGTCCAAAAACTTGGGGAAGTGTGGGTGCCTGATAGGTCCTACATATGACAGAACCRAGGCTCTATTCTACCAGCTTTTGTCAGCCCTCTGGTTTGGGGAGAGTTTGAGTGGGTTTGTTACTGTGGAGCTCTCATGTCTGTCTTGAGAGTAGCCATTGTTGCCCTAAGTGTGCAAAAATGTATAACTGCAYGATTCTTCCATCTCTGTTTAATTCGTAGGAGTTAAGCTAAAAAGAATTCCCAAAACAGACATTTCTTACCCATTGAGGAGCAGCTCTGTTGTCATTTTAAGTCAATGACAGAGGTAAAACATGATTCTGAGCACAAAATCCGCCATCAGAATTGGTTCCAAGCCAGTGGGATTGTCTTATTAGTAGTTAATGGGTTTTCATTTCTCCTGTTTGGTGCACATTCTGATGRTGGCTTTGATCTCAAGCTGAGTGACTTGTGAAATGGCTTTGCAGGTTCCCTYTCAGGAAGGGATTAACCTGCCACCATGGTGCCTGCAGTGGTAAGCTGCTGCTCCAGCTTCTCTTCCCGCTATAATTAATTTTGCTTCCTCTCTTTTCTGTCATGTGTTTCAGACGTGGATCAGGGCCTCATGGATCGTCTCAAAGACATCAACAGCACCTTAGTGAGTCAGCTCAACAGGCTGAGGAGCATCCAGGGCACGGTGAGGGACACAGAGAGCCTGGCAGAGCAGGCCCGGGTGCGGGTGGAGGACACTGAGGACCTGATCAGYCTGGCTTCTGAGATGCTGGAGAAGGCCAAGATGGCAGCTGACAATGTGGTGAGTGCTGCCGAGATCCCACTGCTGMAACAGGCTCAGGGCCCTTCCTTCTGTGCCTCTGCTCTGTTTCTCCACTTGCTCTCTCCCTCATACAGCAAATTTGCATCAAGATCTTGGCAAATCAGAGAAGGAAGTTCACCAATGTTTGTCACAGATTGTACCTTAGGCCAAACCAACATTAAAAGTCCTAAATAAATATTAGCACCATTGTTTTTCAAGGGATAAGTGGCAGTGGGAACTGCATGGGCTTAAGAAAAACATATAGAGAAGCGAGAAGTAGGTTAGACACATCTCTGAGCATTTAGATCATGACAATAAATATTCAAAGCCAATATGAATACAAGGTGCAAAAAGATCTTTAGGGTTTTTTTTCTTTCTTTTTCTATTCCAGTCCATTACACCTCCAGAGCAAAGTGGTGACCCCAACAACATAACTCTGTTGGCAGAAGAGGCCCGTAAACTGGCGGAAAGGTAGGCTATGGTGAGACACACTCCTTGTGGCCTGTGTCAGGGCTCTGCTCTGCCCTRTGAGGGACAAGCAGAATTTGATTTGCTGGGTAGGAAATACACACCCTTTTTTGTGTAAGAGACCGGTGCTGTGGGATGATGGCTATGCAGACTGAACACAAACATTAAACATGTGGATGAGGGACATGGCAGCCATCTTCCAYTGCAAGTGTTTCAGTATCTGCCATATGTAAATTTGGGGGAGGGAGGGAGGAAAAATGAGAATATAATCAAGGACTGAGAATAAAAACTATTGGCTGACAAATCTAATGGCATTATTTTTCTTCTGTCATCTTGTCCAGGCACAAAAAGGAAGCTGATGAGATCGTTCAAATGGCCAAGGCTGCAAATGACACTTCCACAGAAGCGTATCAACTGCTGCTGAAGACCCTGGCTGGAGAAAACCAAACTGCAATTGATATTGATGAGCTCAACCAGAAGTGAGTTAGTAACAGAAARTAGGTTTTATTTCCTGACTTTAGAGCAGTGCTTAAAACTGAGACAACCTTYTGTATGCTTTGGATTTTACAGGAGGTGATTTTCAGTTTCTTAGCCTCTCTAYTGTCTTATTAAGTTCAGTTCTACAAAAAATACTGTAACATAACTGGATCCTTGGGGATTTTTTAGGTACAATCAAGCAAGGAATATTTCTCGAGACCTAGAGAAACAGGCCAACAAGGTGCTTGCAGAGGCAGAGGAAGCTGGAAACAGAGCCCTGCAGATCTATGCTAATCTCACCAGCCTGCCAACTGTGGATTCCACGGGGCTAGAGGTACATGTGGGCACCATCCTGTACAGTATTTCCTGAAGATTGCTAGCTTGCTGGCATACYTTACATGTGCTCTGCTAATGTTCTCTGTGTAAGAACAGTTTGTGGGATTTTTGTCCATACATAGGCAAATCCAGCTTTTGTGCAATTCCAACWTTTCTGTAGGAGATTTAAATGAAGAGAACCACCTACTTAGACCTCACTTCCCCCAGTGTCTGAAGGACAAACATTTGAGTGAAATGTTTGCCAAATATCTTGGYTTGAACGTAGAAGTGCAAAAATTTGCCACCTGTTCAGGAATTCTTTAACATTCAGGAATCTGTGTGTGTGATTTCCACCTGCAGAATGAAGCAAATAAGATCAAGAAAGAAGCAGAGGAACTGGATCAGCTCATTGCCAGGAAATTAAAAGATTATGAGGACTTGAGAGAAGACATGAAAGGAAAGGAGCTAGAGGTGAAGAACCTCTTGGAGAAAGGGAAGGCAGAGCAGCAGGTTAGTTCCACTTCGTTCAGGCTCTTGTTCCCTGGGAAAAAAACCAATAAAACAAGACAACTGGCCAGATGTGAAAAATGTAACCTTTTTCAGTCTACTAGTGTTACTTATTAATTATGAGAATGCTGAAGAATGACCCAGAAAGGCGATGCAGAAAGCTTTTAAAAACAATGGCGTTGAGGTTGTATGGGAAGATAGGAGGTATTTGCCAGAAGTGGTGTCAACTCTGTATTGAGAACATGTTCCCAAAGTATGTACTGGTCTCAGAGAAAGCACTGCTGCTCTGGGTRGTGGTGTTGGAGGCTGAGCAGCAATTTTCCATACATCTACATGATTGTCCTTCAGAAGGTGGGAATACATTGACACATGTCATGTCTCCTCAGACTGCAGACCAGCTCTTGGCTCGAGCAGACGCAGCGAAAGCCCTGGCTGAAGAAGCTGCTCGGAAGGGCAATGGCACACTACAGGAGGCCAATACCATTCTCAGCAACCTGAAAGGTAAAGAGGAAGCACTTGGAGTGAATCCTTCAGTTCCAGTGTGAYGAGTCACTTGGCAGTAGAATATTCTGGTTAGAGGCCCTGCTGTCACCCTTACCTGAGTGTTGGGTGTATTCCTTTAGCTTCTTTTTCTTTAAAGAAAGAAGTGTTAAGTGTTTTCAGGGACTGGAAGTTTCCTTTTAAGTTCCTTATTTAGCATCASAAGATGTGAAACTGGGAGCCCACCCCAGTTTGCTCTTCGTCYCCCCATTGTCACAGCAGGAAAAGCCTTGGGTAGCTTGGTGCAAGGAGCACCCCAGGGCTCTTCTGGAGCACGTGATGAGGATCTGCTTTTCCCCCTTAGACTTTGACAAGCGGGTGAACGATAACAAGACAGCAGCCGAGGAGGCGCTTAAGAGGATCCCGGCCATCAGCCAGACTATTGCAGAGGCCAACAACAAGACCCGGCAGGCAGAGCTGGCGCTGGGCAATGCTGCTGCTGACGCCCGCGAGGCCAAGGCCAGAGCAGACAATGCTGAGAAAATCGCCAGCTCCGTTCAGAAGGTGAGCGTGTTGCAGCTCAGCCCCTCTGGGATGCTGTAGTGTGGCTTCATCAGCTCCTGCTTCACTGTTTCCTGCTGAGTCCCCTGTGCCCTCTGCTGTATTCCCCACTGTGAATGCCAAATGTGGCGAGATAAGAAATTGGTGCATTYTGATGAGGAGGATTGAAGGAGATTCTGCACCTTCACCACCTTTTTCCATCCTGTCCCACCTGTTGGCTGCAGAGTGCTGCTGCTACCAGAGCCGAAGCCGACAAGACCTTTGCTGAYGTGACAGGACTGGCCAGGGAAGTGGATGACATGATGAAGCAGCTGCAGGACGCAGAGAAAGAGCTGAAGCGGAAGCAGGCTGATTCTGAGCAGGATATGAAGATGGCAGGCGAGGTAAGTAGTGCTGGCAGGTGACAGTAGTGGCAGGAGCTTCCTTCTCCCTGCTATCCTGGCGATGARGGCTTTCCTCCTGCTCTCCTCTTGCAAAGACAGCGCTGGGCACAGCCAGTGTGCAGTCTCTTTCAAGGGTTAAGGGGAACTGAAAAGGAGACAAGTTCTGGTGCATTAGCATAGGCTCCCTACTGGAATTTGAGAGCTACTTTTCTTCCTTTTATTTTAACTAAAACCTGACTGTAGCCCTATTGATTCCATTCTGGCTTTTGCTGCAAAATCCTGCTCAGTTTCCAGGGATCCCGATCCTGAAATACGCAGAAAAMCAGTAACTTGGAGACTGTCAGTCTTCTCCCCAGCCCTGTGATAAAGGTTGTTACCCTGGAGTGAGGARGCAGTGATGTGGGTAACTAACTGCRGAGGAAAGGCAACAGTTTTGTAATCCCTACACCTTTTTGTGCTTTCACATTCTATTTTATGTCCTGCAGGCCTCACAGGCTGCCCAGGAGGCAGAAGACAATGCAAGAAAAGCAAAGAACTCTGTGAATAGCCTACTCACTGTCATTAATGACCTGTTGGATCAACTAGGTAGGGTTATCTTTATTGTGCTCTGATGGCTTTGAGTGTTTTGCTGATGCATGCTGGCTTTTCTGCCAATGCTGTGTGAGGAACCAGATGGATCTGTTGACCTCTTGAAATGGGGTTTGTGCCGTTTTGGCAAGGACCTTGGGCTTTTCCCTTTCCGGAGTAGCCTCAGAGCTGGTGCAATGTTTGGTGTTGGTTTTCTGCAAACTGCAGACTTTTTGGTGGTGATGCCTCCCCTGTGCCTGGTCCTGTTTCAAACGCTGTCTCTGGTGCAGAGATGGTCCCATGGAGATCTGCTGTGRGGTCACCTTTGGGAGCTCTCAGGGTGTCCAATGGCTTTTAACGCACTTCACTACTTGCTTCTGGCTTTGCAGGGCAACTGGARACGGTGGACTTGGACAAACTGAATGAAATTGAGGGTACCCTGAACAGTGCCAAAGACCAGATGAAAGAGAGCGACCTGGACCAGAAAGTGTCTTTCCTTGARAGAGAAGCCAAGAAGCAAGATGACGCGATACAGGCCTACAACAGGGACATTGAAGAGATCCTGAAGGACATTAGCAACCTGGAAGATATCAGGAAGACCTTGCCATCTGGCTGTTTCAACACCCCGTCCATTGAGAAACCCTAAGGGTGYGCTGGGGGTGGGGGAATCGCCCCGGGGAGCGGTGGTTCGGCCATGGAGTGAGTGCCTTAACACACATTACCTTCTCCAGATCCCCAACTCTTCGCTGCTTGCAGCCACTGTTTTCTTGTCAAATCAGGATAAGTTGAACCTTTTTTTTTTTTTTTTTAGAAGCAAATTAAATATCCGTCTTTGGGCATCAAAGGGGTTTTTTATATAGATTGTTTTCCTGAGCACTCTGCCTTTGCCCCTTCGTCAGACACAAAGTTTCCCTTTGATTAGTGCAAGGATGAGAGATGCTCTGGACTCTTTATACTGTGGTTCAGAAATAACCATGTGAGCTGTATACGGCAAGGCAAAACTAACCCAACTTTCCTGTCTTCTCCCTTTGACTGTAAAATCCTCAGTCCTGGAGCTCTTTGTCCCTATGAAGGAAGGGGATGGCTACCAAAGTATAACTGTAATGGCCAGTATAGCTGCACTCAATTCAGATCCTTCTTCCCAATGTCTAACCCTGTGAATATATTTTTTTCATCATTACCTAGTGGCCAATCCAACAGTGTTGGTAGCCTTTGACAAACTAGCTGAAGCCTCTTTCTGAAATGCTTTTTGTGATGATGTATTGTTCTGAGAAACAGGCAGCCTCTGATTGGAGCTCTTTGGAAAGATGGGATACTGGTGGAGTGGTGGGTCTTGCAAGCCCCATTCCTGTTCTGTGGAAAAGTTTTGGGTCTGGTCTGAAAGCTGCTACCTGCAGGGTAGTCCAGACTGCCCGAATGTGGAAGCCACAAGCTGCGTTCCCAGCTGTTGCTACTGAATTTCCGGAGGATCTGTTTTTCTGGGCTTGGAATGTCTGACCGATGAGTTTGTTGAAGCAGGACAAGTCTTGCTGAAGAGGAGAGCTGCCATCCAGAGAGCTCCAACAGCTGCACTGGCCTCCACGTTGAATGTCTTTGGGTGGGTACAGAAGGGGGCACACACGTGGAAATGGAAAGGTCTTTCCTTCTCCCCATCTCTTTTCTGAAGGAGGACAGTGGCATTTTTCTCTCTTCTGCCATTGCTCATGTCTTTTGCCTGTTTTTAAGYTGTCAGAAAGAGCTGGAATTTCCCGGTGCCCTCCTTTCTTTTTGCCTCCMGATCTCCCGGTCACCGTAAAGCCACCGCAGCACAAGGACCTCAGCCAGGCTTGGGTGGCAGCTCTGCCTTTCCCAGCACTCCCTGCAGGCTCCTTCCCCAGGCAGCGCTCGCTGGTGCTGGGTGGGAGTGTCGGGGAGCCCCTGCTCTGAGACAGGAGCATCCTCTGCAGCTTCCTCCTTGCCTCCAGCCTGGCATCCCCCCTCTTTCCCTGAGATCCAGTATATATCTATCCTTAAACACTATGCAACTTTGTATGTTTGCGTAGGGGGGAAGAAACTATTATCTGACACACACTGGTGCTATTAATTATTTCAAATTTATATGTTTTGTGTGAATGTGATTTTTTTTCAGTTTTTTTTATCATGATTATAGTGTAAGGAAGTCTCTCATGTGTGTGTATGTGTGTGTAAATAATACTCAGCCATATTTCCAGAGTGGCACAGCCTGGCCTCCTCCATGTGCTTTTCCCTGTAGCCATCAGGGCACGTGCACTGTGTATTGCTTCTCTCCGTATGGTTCCCTTAAAACTCGGTATTTCTTCTGGCTGGGCTCCTGCTTGTTTCCCTCTCACGTGTCCCCAGCACCCACCCATAACCACTGTGCCTGTCGGGTGGATGCTTTCCAGCCCTGCCCCAGGTGCCTGCAGCGCCCTGTTGTGTGTTCCTCGACCCCTGGGATGCTGTGCCAGGAGCAGGGCAGGGGCTGTGGCTTTGCAGCTGGGCTATGAGGAGCTGTGGCACTGTTGGGAGGCTGGGCCCAGCACTGGGGTGGTTGGAGAGCTGCATTTGGGGACATCTTGGTGGCACTGTGCGAGGCAGGAGGCTGGGTGCAGGCAGTRCTGCTGGGCGGGGTGTGTTCCCAGCAACCTCTGCGTGGCTCTTCTACCCTTTTCCTTCTCACTGTGGGATTTCCCTGCTGCCTGCAAACACCTCTGGAGGAGAGCTGCCCGTGCCCACGTGTGCAGGGACTTTGGGTCACTCTGGGGAGGTGGTGTGACCACGTCACCTCTGCAAAGGCTGTGAGAAGAGCAGATGCGAGGACGTGTGCATGCCCAGGCTGACCTCAGGCCTAAGGTTTCCTGCTTTCTTCTCCTTGGGTTTGTTTGTTTTTTTGGTTTTTTTTTTTTTCTTAGCTGTTTTTAACAGATTTTTATTTTTAAATAAAAAAAAATCTTTATAAGTGATCTCTTAATCAGTACTGCATTACAGCCATTATTCATTGTATAAGTCCAGTTATTTCTTTACGTAATGTGATGATGACATGACAGCTGCTGGTGGAGTGCAGGATGTCACAGACTACATGTGGCATCCCTTCATCACCTCATTCCTGACTGTGGCCCCCTCAGTACGTGCCTTYACTCCAGCTTTTTTTGCCTTAATCTGTGGTCTTGCTGTCTGGGGCGGTGAACAAAATGCAACACTTGCAGTTTTTATGTATAAAACAGTATTTCTTATTTATAATAAAGTTTGAATATTTGTAACCCCTTATACCTGGCCATTCTTTTGAGTATTAATGTGTCTTTTGGTGGTGGGGTATTGATGCAAGCAGAAGAATCTTGGTTGCAAGATTCACCTCTTGCTCCTTAGACAGCCTGGTTTGGGATGGAAAAACGGGGAGAAGAAACTTGGAAGTGCATGTGGTAGGATACAGATGGGATGATGGCTTTTCCTTGTGTCCATTGCTCCATTGCCATGGCTATGATGGATTTTAAGCTGCTGGTTTTCCAGGACTCCAAAACATTAGATTAGGTTTGTTGGTGCTGATGCTATTGGAGTGGCACTGACTTCMTGCAAAGCCCTGAGGAATTGGAGGGTATTTGTTTACTCTTTAAGGGTAAAATCATTTTTACTAAACTTATGGAAAAGGATGGGGCTCCTGGGAAACAAACAAAACCCAAAAAAACCCAAATAAAGAAGCTGAAATTTCTCTCCTGGGAACTGCCTCAAATCTGGGTGCTCTGTATTGTTCCTGGGTTCTGTCTGCCACAGCCTGGGATAGATTTTATTCCTGAATTAAACAAGTTTTTAAGGACAGATTGCAGTGATAAATGACTTGGCTGTTCTGCATTTGCACTCTTACAGCTCCAGCTGGATTCCTGATATTTCTCTAAGCAGAAGAAAACTCACAGGTCTCATTAACTTGCATCAGAGCTAATCCCATCTCAGCTGTTAAGTTCTTACTATTTTTTCATTTCAGTTTGTGTACTTTCAACCTTTCATTCTTCAGTTGACACTAATGAATTTGTTTTATAAAATACCTCTCTTCTTTATTTTTTTCCAGTGTTTTTGTGGAGCAAATCCCAGCTGCTAAATCTGGCTGGGGTTCCAGCTGGAGGGTGGGGAGCAGAGAATTGGGTGGTGGGGCAGTTCTGACCTTGCATGGGCTGTAGCTTGACATGGGGCCTCTTACCATTTTGAGGCTAAAATACAGAGTTTAGGAAGCAAGTCTGGGTCATTAATTTTATCTTCAGGATTTTTATCTCCTGGAGTTTTCTGTGAGCGTTGTGCAGATCTGTCTCGAAGGTGATCTGGTTTTCAGAGGTGATCTGGAAGGAGGAGGAGCCATGCATTTGTGTGGTGTTCAGAGGTGATGMTCGAGGACAGTGGAGGATGATGAGGTCAGAGGAACCTCAGTAAATGCTCAGAAATCTGTCATGGAGAGGAGCAGACTCACCTCCAAGGGACTGTGAGAAGRGCTTCCAGGTTGCCAAAGTGTTGTACCAATGTTCTGAAGCCCGGGTAGATCTGCTCTCCTCAGATATTCTCTTCTCAGTGTACCTGTACCTGATCTCAAGGCAGGTGAGTAGGCACCTTGCTGAGCAGTGACCAAGCCATGCTCTGGTCCTTTTTTCTCCTTCAGCTCCCCGTGTTTCTTCTCACTGCCCAAATTCAAGATCCATCATCTCTTGTGAGCTCTCTGGAGAAGCAGGAGGGTGACAGGGGGCCATGGGGAGTGCTTGGAGAGAGCTGAGCTGGATTCCCTCGCTTTTGGGGAGGACAAAATATTGTTACAAGTTTAAAAATCTCTGGGAACAGCTGCCTTGATTGGGGAGACAGYTCTGGTGTGTTTGTGTGGTTCTGGGGAAGGAAGGGGACACAGCTGTCACATGGAGCTGGCAGGGTTGTGTGCTCCCCATCTACAGCCACATTCTGATTGTGTGATTCCCCATCACAGCGTGATGCCTTCAGTGTCACCCCCTTCACAGGAACAAGAAGAATGCTGTGTGACAGTGCTGCCCCAGAGGCTGACTGTGGGGACAGACAGGGGAATGCAGTTGGATGGCAATGCCTCCTTCCTCCATCCCTTTATGTTCCACCCCTCACTGCTGCGGGCAGGGCACTGGCGAGGCAAGGCCAGACATGACAGCGCTTCCTCGCTGTGCCACTGCTGCCGTCCTGCCCTGCCCCACTTGCTCACTGCCGGTGTGATCCCTGCCTGCTCCCTGCCTGCCTCTGCCCCTCCTGGGGAGCTGCTGCTCAAGGCTCTGCTCTGCTCCCAGTGCCTCTGGCTCTCATGTCTGGGTGCCTTTTTCCCAGGGCACCCAACTGGCAGAGGACAGATGATGTCCGGGCTCTATGACTGCACCAGTGTTGGTGTTACCAGCATGCAATGATCTGATTTTCCACGCTGGGAGGAAATCCCAGAGGGTTTCCTGCTGGAGGATGTTGCAGATCAAATGGTCACTTGCTTGGAGGTTGTGAGGGTTGAGCTGGACTTCAAAGCCACTCACAGCATTGTGCTGCTGAGCCACCGAAATGGGGTTTCTCCCTTGGTTACATCAATAAAACCATCGCTTCAGAGTTTTTACTCATTCATCACTTTTCACCAGCAACCATMAGCTAAACTGAGGTTATTGTGTTGTTTCAGACTGGTTTTGAGTGTTTAATTCTGCCACGGTCACATCCTCAAGCTGTGATGATCTTGTGAGCCATGGTGGTCTGACTTTCTGGCTCTGTTGTGAATGATGGAATAGAACATCTTCAGAAGGACTTTTTTTTTGTGCAGATTAAAAGACAGAGGTTCTCCAGTGAAGAAAAACTGTTTCACTGCAGTGTCTGATGAGTACAACTGTTCTTTATGCCTTCCTTTGCTTACGTTTCTGCTTASTCTAAGAAGTAAAACATGTCTGTTAACCGTGTTGGTGTTAGACCTTTGATAAAGGGTGCTGCTGTAGCAATGGGACATTTGCTCTGTGGAGCGTGGTGGGCAGCAGCTTGTTCCAGATTGGGTGTGTTTAGAGAATCTGGGCCCCAGGATGTATATTTTAGTAGTCTTGTGGCATGTGATACTCAGAGATGATCCTGAAGGATGGTGGTGAATGACGAGGTGAGAGTAACCTGAGTCAATAAGCAAAGATGACTGAGGAGTGAACTGCCAGGGCCGTGTTTGCACAAGTGGAGGGAGAGGTGGGGTGGCAGCGGTGAGCTAGAGGGGATAACATGGAGGAGACAGAGAAAGGAAAAGCTTTCTCATGGGAGGGTGGGTTTTCCAAGAGAAAGTCAGCCAAGGATGTGGTCTGGGTGAGGTCCAAGGCAACTGCGGTACAGACCACGCTGCTGGAGATGAGGTTCCTGAGGAGAGGGGTGTCAGCAGGTAGAAAGGACACAGAAGAGATGTTGTGGGCAAGTGATGTACTTGAGAACAGAAGGGATTGTGTTTTCTTAGAGTCTAAGTGGATCCTAAGAGCTGCTGAATTGGTGGGAACACCATAAATAATTTTATCTCATTAAAATAAAAGTAATGAAAACCAAATAAAGCAACCTGGGGTGCCAAAACCCACCATGCTACCATTGCATTCGGGAACCAAGGATTCCTTGTGAGCTGTATTAAAATCCAGCGAGTGAAATGAAGAGGAAATCTCCTGTTTATWAAAGTGAGCTGGCTCAATCAGCAGGGGCAGGTACGGTTGGCAAAGGGAGGTGCAGAGATGTGGTGAGTTCAGGCCGGCTGCACCCATGAGATCACTAGGAGCCGCAGAGGAAAGCCCTGTGAGTCAGCTCCCAGGTGTCTGCAGTGTCTGGGGCTGTGGGGCAGCATGAGGGACTCAGACAAGGAGCTCACTGTTAATCACCCTACTCTGTGAGGCCTGGAGCAGTGTGTCAGGCCTTGGGCTGAGTTTGGATCCCTAATGCAGAAGAGAACCTAAAATGCAGCTTGTGTCTTTGGGGACAGACTTGTTCGATGTTTTCATTCGACTTAAAGGTGCTTCTGGAGCACTCCTGACTGGCAGCCCAGTGGCATTGGGTGGGGGAGCTGCCATGATGCAGTGTGAGGGCCCGTCCCTCACTGTGCCCCTCTGCTGGGTGGATGTGCTGCGATCCCACCTGTCCTTCTGTGTGCAGGATGTGGAGCACCCCTGCACTGCTGGTCGTGTCCTTCTGCAAGGCAAAGGCAAGGAGCAAGGTGGAACTGACTTTCACGGCCTGTGTGGCTTATTGGCTGCCATTGAGAACCAAGTGCTGATGGATCGGGGGCTGAGGACCCTGGCATCCTCCTCCTGGCTCTGCTAGCAGCCTCAGAACAAGCCTTTCCCCCCCCTGCCTCCACTCTTCATGGTGTTTCCAGCATAAAAATGATGCAGTAGGTGAAGCCAAGGACCCATTGAACCTCATTTTCCATCTCAGGAATAAAACCAGACAAACGTGTGTGATGATTCCCACCTTCGCCTCATTTCTAGGTCTGGGGATTTCCTGAACTTGATGTTTATCTGGTAAATCCCAATTGATCTGCTTTCTGAGCRCTTATCCAAGCTGACCTTGGGTCTCTTGGCATCCCCAGTTCTGCTTGTCACCCGAAATGAGCCCTGCTCTTGCAGGCTGGCTGGCCGGACATAGCTTGCGAGCAGGAAACCCCCCTCCACCCTCCCCAGGCTTCATATGAGCTCATCCTGTTTCATTTCGTTCCCTGCAAGCTTTCGGCGTGCCCGGGCAGCCCGGCTCCCCCCATGCAGCACCGCTGCCCTGCCTGGGAGCCCGGGGGACGGAGTCGGGTGAGCGGGACAGGCAGGAGGGGCGTCTTCAGGAGCCGCAGCTGTATTTKATTGTGTTTCTATTCAGCAGGGCGCATGCCGGAGGTGTTGGGGTGCTGTGCCCTGACCGTGCCTGTTCCCCGATGGGGCAGGCGCCTGTCTGTGCTCCCTGGGCTGGGCTCTGGCTATGAGTCAGCTCACGGCACACAGCTCTTCCTGTTGGGAGTGACTCAGGTGGAGCAGCCGATAAAAAACGCACGGAAAAAAGGTAGCGGGCAGCCGGTGCGGAKCCCCGCCGGAACCGGGGCGCCCGGTGCTCCCCGTCACAAGCAATGGCCCGGTGCTGGCTCCTGCCCCTCGCCTGCCTCGCCGCGTCCCTGCTGCCCACAGCCCTGGCCACACGCGGCACAGAAGGTGAGGCTCCGGGAAGGGCTCTGCTCGTGCTTCGGTCCCGCCGGCAGGCTGGCTCGCAGCTCTGTCCCAGGGCTGCATAGTGCCGGCAGCTGGCAGCTGGCTCGGGAGCTCTTTCCCTCCCGCCTTCGGGATTGATCCGTCGGTGCTCTTTGTTTTCCTATGAGGTTAAATATCCCACGAGCAGTTGGTTTTTTGCTTTGTGACTGGCATCCCCTTCCAAAAACTGATTTATGTGCAATTCCCTTATCGCTCTCGGTATCTCGGTATTGCTCCTGGCGTGGGATGCGGGTGTGAGCATCACCCAGGCTGTGGCTGATCCAAAATCAAAAGCTTTCCTGATCCTGAAGCACAGCTGGAAGCATCCAGGTCCAGTTTGCTATAATAACAGAGTGGTGGTTGGATTTTCTGTGAGTCTAGGGGTCTTCCTGCTCTCATTCTGTGGTGACAGGAGTCTGCTGCAGGCCACAGACTGATAGTGAGCTTTAAAAATCCAGCAGAGTCTCTTGCATGYGCAAATATCACCTAGCAGAGAGTGTCACGCAGGGAGATTTAATATGTTCAGCCCAGCAGTAATTCAGCTGTCAGGGTTTCAGTTTCATTGGCCTATAGTCTGGAGATGGSTGCATTTGGCTAAAATTGGATTTTCGCATGTGTTTTGTAAATAATGAACAATTTAATTTTTTACTTTATCAGCAGTACTGGTGCTCTGAAATAAGCTTGYTGGGCTTTAAGTTGAATTTTATCTGTTTTAATTGTAGTGCAATGGGAAATAAGTGCTGAATAGTGTTTTGTTTTGGTTTGGTTTTTTTCCCAAGAAAAAAGAAGACCTGCTTTACTTTACACACTTAATTATTACATCAGCCCTAATTACATACAAATTCTAAAATGCTGATACAGATTCTTCCCCTACTMCTTCATGGCAGTGTGTGGGAAACTGCTGCTTTTCCAGGGACTCTTGAACCTGTTTCTGTGTGTGTGTAAAAGCCTCGGTCTATATCGACCATGTTTTTATGCTGCAGCAYACTTTGGGTGGGTTTGGTGGAGTCGGTGGAGTCACTCAGCTGACGGAGCCCCCCAGGGCCCAAACAGGTGTTCCTGCCCTGAGAGAGCTGGGAAATTGGACAATGGGGACAGCCAGACTTTGGGGCAGCCGATGGGACAGCCTTGTGGGTCACTGTGCCAAGAGCAGAGGGAGGCAGTGGCCAGCGTGGACATGGAGGCTTCATGGCAAAGCCCTGCTGCTCCCCTGGTGGAAGGAGGGATCTTAGTGGGTACCGGGCTGTGGATCCCCACACACCCTCCTTGTCTGGTTCTGTAGATTTAAGGAGAYCATTTAAGAGGACTGAAGCTGCCTGTCTCCTTCTCCAAGCCTTTCTATTGTGAGGATTGATCTCAGCACAGATATCAAGCATTTCSCATGTGGGTGGGAGCTGGGGGAATGACATCCTGCTAGTTGTGTACCATGGACCCTCTGCATCCTGATGTGGCACCAAAGAAACCCAGCTGCAAAGCTTTTCCTTGATGGAAGCTGCTCTTTTCCATGGATAATCTCAGAGCAGAGCCTTAGGGCCGCTGGGTACAGAAGTGATCCTGCCCTCGGCTGGTCCTCATCCTCAGCAGCTCCTCCGTGCTCCATCTCGTTATCAATTCCAGTGCCTTGCCCTCAGTGAGGATTCGCCTGCCCAAGCTCCTGGGTTTCTGGGAGATGAGCAGGAGCATACACACCASTGTGGTGGTGGCACTGACCTGCCACAGCATCTTGAATGGCTTCGAATTGGTGAGGCAGGAATCGGTTCCAGGGCTAGAGATCTGGTTCCCAACATGCTGCAGCTGTAGGAAAGGTTCTCATTTCCTGGAGGAATGGTGCTCGTGCCTTTAATTAGCAGCACATTAAATTGTCTGGATTGTGCAGATGTAGGGTGATGCCAGGGGGGAGTTCAACTCAGATCCTTGTGGGTGCGTTCTGACTTGAGATCTGCTGGAGTGATGGGGAGTGGAATCAACGTGAATGCAATCTTTCTGCGGTGACGGCGAGCACAAATACTTGAACAAAGTCTCACACTGTTGCTCTCCATGGGTCCTATGTACTGTCCGTGTCCTTTTGTCACTGGGCATGCTCTCTGAGGCTGGAATTGCTTCCCTACACCCTAGAGACAGGAATTGTGTGCCCACAGGTGCCCTCCCAGSAGGCTGGGGTGGCCGATCTCCTCAGCTTGGTCTTGGTATCCTGGCAGCCAGACTGCGGGGGAAGAGCCGTATTTGCCGTGGCTGGAAAAAGCTCTGCCCCTGTTTGCTGGTGCATGAGGTCATCCGTGCTCCTGGCAGAGGCTGTGCTGAGTGCCTCCCTCTGGAATGCGGCGCCAGTGGGTGTGTGGGAGGGCGGCGCCCAGGTGTGAGCGCTKCGAGCGGAGGCTGTGCCTGGTCCCRGCAGTCACAGATGCCGAGGACGTTGTACCCGAGGGCTGAGCTGTGCCAGAAGGCAGCTGGGAAGGAGAAGGCTCGTTGTGTATGAGCACGAGACACTGTCTGCACCCCTGCAGCAGCCATTTTTGGACTTCCTCCACCTCCAGTGCTCTCAGAGGTGCCCTGAGCAGGGGTTGGGTAGCTGGGGATGGCCTTTCCTGTCCCAAGGAGGCCGGCAGTGAGCGGAACTCCTCAGAGGGAGTTCCCGTGGCAGCATAACAGTGGTTTGGAGCAGTCCCTCAGCAGGCTCTGTGCCCCTGAGCACCTGGCTTTTCCCCTTGGCATGTTTCTTTCTCCTGCCTGTCTTGCCAAACATTCTCTCAGCTGTGCCTGCTCTCCTGGGTGATCCTGGGGAGCATATCTGGAATGAAGGTCCTTGGCATTAAATGCTCCAGTGCTGGCTACTCAAGGATTGCCACAGAGATGAGAGGTGGCAAGGCAGTGGAGTGCTGGTGAGATGCCCGAGTGTGCTCTCCWGAGGGATCACCTGCCCTGCATGCAGAGAGATGAAGAATCTCCTGCCTGTTCATCCTGCATCCCTCATGCAGCACCRTGGGCAGCTGCAGCTTTTCTTCATGCTGAGGGACAGGCGGGTGGGCTCACTCATCCAATCCCGCCCAAACCCTTTTTGTTCATCTCCCTCTTGGCTGGCATGTTTCTGCCAAACTCCTTGGATTGCAGTGCGCTCTCCATGCCYCTGCACTGCAGACCTAGGGTCAGGACCTGGTGGAAGTTGGTTGAGCTTTTCCTGCTGAACTCACTCTTGCTCAGAGGTTGGGTGAAACAATGCTCGACCTCAGGGATCTTTCCCCAAGTCTCCAGTAGCATTACCCATGCTTTTCTCAGGACAGGATTGAGGTTTTTTTAAACCATCTCTGCTTATCCTTGTCCTTGTTGTGTTGCACGTCCTATGAAAGGGTGGAGAGCAGCTCTGGCCATGCTGAGGTGTGGATTGCAACTGCTTGGTTTGGGTTTGTCCATCCTGAGCAGCAAAATGGGGCATTGCTCCCCAGTGTGGGCACCAGTGGCACTGGGGTGACTGCTGGACACAGTCACGGGAACAAATGCAGGGACACGGTGAAGGGCCTTGCTGTGAGCAGGAGCAGGAGGTTTGCACCTCCTGCGCTTCTTCCTTGGCCCCCAGAGTGGGATTGCATCTGCTGCCCCCATCTCCAGGCATCATCTGAGATCTCTGTTCTCATCTCCCCAGTCTGTGAGTGCAATGGGATGTCCAGGAAGTGCATCTTCGACTGGCAGCTGCTGAGGGACACGGGGAAYGGGTACCGCTGCCTCGACTGCCAGGGCAACACGGAGGGCACCCGCTGCGAGCACTGCAAGGACGGCTTCTTCCGCCRGCGAGGCGAGCAGTGCTGCCTGCCCTGCCACTGCCACCCCTGGGGTATGTGCACAGCTGGGGGGTGAGGGGCACTCACGGCACCTGCTGAGTGCCTGGGTGGCTCAGGCCACCACATCAGAGGCTTCAGGACTCACCTGSCCTCTGAAATCATCAGACTCACAGAACAATTGGGGTTGGAAGGTGCCCATCCCAACCTCTCCCTCCTGTCTTCCTGCAGGTGCCCTCAGCCCACAGTGTGACAGTGATGGCCAGTGCAGCTGCAAACCCGGTGTGGCGGGGGACAAGTGTGACCGGTGCCAGCCGGGCTTCGAGTCCCTAWCTGAGGCTGGGTGCCAGCGGAGTGGGCAGTGAGTGCTGGCCACCATTGGTGGCGAGGGGCCACAGAGAGGGCCAGCCTGCAGAGCTCTCCTGGGGCCCGTGCTGGCTGAAAACACCTCCTGCAAGGGCAGGGTTGGTCTCATGGCAGCTCACTGACAACCTTAGGCCAACCATGCTAGGAGAGAGTGGGCTTGAGTGAGACTGACCCTCCACACCAGCCTGCAGGGCTTACTGTCCTGCAACAGCGTCAGAATCTGAGCCACCCTGTCAGGCGATGGATTTATTGCCCAGATAATGCCCAATAGGCAACAGCCACATAAAGCAAAACCTGCTCACCRTGTGGGTGTCTGGTATTGGTGCCACTCACCAGAAGACATGCGTGCAAAAATCAACCCCTTCCTTTGCATGAAGCCCTGTTTAATGCCTCWAGAAATGGTTCTGAGCTGAATACCTCTGCTGTGTACTCTTCTTCTTCACCTCACTCTGTCGTGTGTCCTTTGGGGCYGCTGGCAAAGGGTGCTGGCAAGAGAGGGCTGCCTGCAGCCCTGCTACCGTGCCTGGACTCCAGCCCCACCTCCCTGGGGTGCCGCTTGCTGCCAGAGCTTGGTGCTCCTTGGAGCTCAGTCAAGGTCTATTAAATAGCCAGGGTTTACTGAGCTCAGCAGAGCTTGGCTTTTCCCTTGTAGGGGGGTCTGATGCTCTGGGATGCCCTGGGGCAGTAGCAGTGGGCACTGGCTCAACCCGCGRTGCTGCAGGTTCTGTAAAGAGGTGGCTCTGCTGCCTGTTTCCCTTCTTCTCACACGGGAATGGTAGCTGGGYGGGCTCTCCCCTGTCTTGTGCAGTAGCAGGGAGCACTGGGCTCCCAGTGCTGGAAATCCAGGTAGAGGATTCCACTGTGCCTTTGCAGGAGCCTGCAGTGCGAGTGTGACCCAGCGGGCAGCATGGGGGACTGTCRCTCTGGCCGCTGCGTCTGCAAGGAGGGCGTCACCGGAGAGCGCTGCCACAGGTGGGTGTGGGGAGGATGTGCTGGGCACTGCCYGGCACTTCTCCTTCGCTCTGCAGTCACATCCTTGGCAGTTCACCAAGCCTTGGAATGGGTTGGGCTGGAAAGGAGGTTAGAGCTCATCTTGTTCCACCCCTGCCATGGGCAGGGMTGCCTTCACCATCCCAGGGTGCTCCAAGCCTCAGTGTCCAGCCTGGCCTTGGACGGGGATGGGGCAGCCACAGCTGCTCTGGGCAGCCTGGGCCAGTCCCTTCTGACCCTCACAGGACAGTTTCTTCCCAATGTCCCACGGAGCTCTGTCCTCTGTCAGGTTGAACCCAGTGCACATGTCTATCTTGCCGTCCCAGCCTGGTGATGGCCWTGAGCCCAGCCGATGACTATGTTGCATCAGAGGGATGCTTGTGTGGGCCAGTAAAAGAGGAAAACGACTTTGACATTGTCACTTTCTTGCATTTCCCCAGGTGCAAGCAACACTTCTATAACCTGGATGCCACAAACCCTGCCGGATGCTCCCCCTGCTTCTGCTACGGGCACTCGGTGACGTGTGTCAGCGCTGACAACCACAGCATCCACAATGTCACCTCTGCCTTTCAGCAAGGTGAAGCCCAAGMAAGGCATCTCTGTGACTCCTGGGCCACTTCTCTTCAGTGGGTGGAGGAAATATAGTTCACAGCCCTGCTGGAACCCTTGATCTATGTTGGGTGCTCGTCAAACCTGCCCGTGGCTGCAGCGACCCTGCTGTGATGGTTGGGRGTGGCTTGGTCATGGCAAAAGTGGGGTCCCAGGGGAGCACAGAGTTCCTTCATTATGTATTTCCTGCCACTGTGCCCAGCCTGGCTGCTGTACAGATGTGTGGGCACAGGGATAACTGTGTTGCCCCCTCAGAGGTCAGGGGGAGGCAGCTGGAGAGTCTTGATAAGACACAGATCAAGAAAATTGCTGATGTCCCAGAAACACCTTCCCTGTGCACAYTCACTGCTCCTTGTTGGTGTTCTAGGTGCTGAGGGTTGGCGAGGTGTYCATGAAAGTGGCTCCCCAGCCCAGCTCCAGTGGTCCCTGCACCACCAGGACGCCTTCATAATGGCRAGGAGTGAGGAGCCAATTTATTTTGTGGCACCCGGTAGGTGAGGGATCGGTGGTGGGCAGAGCGAACCCTTTGCTTGGCCTGATCCTGTGGACTGAGCTTTTAGGATGAAGGCAAGATTTAAAGCCTTTAATGTTGCCTTTGCAGCGAAATTCCTCGGGAACCAGCAGCTGAGCTACGGCCAGATGCTGTCCTTCGATTACCGCCTGGACCGAGGGGGACGGCAGCCATCTGCGCATGACGTGRTCCTGGAAGGACATGGCCTGAGGGTCACTGCCCCCTTCCTACCTCAGGGGAAGGTGCTTCCCTGTGGCACCAGCCAGACATACACCTTCAGGTAAAGCTGGGCTCTTTGGGACAGAGGGACCAAGAATGGTTGCAGCTTCAGGAAACTGCTGGGTTCAGCTGTGATCCTTTGAAGGTGGCAAATGGCTGCCTGGTTGGGCTGGATGTATCCCAGGTGCTTCTGTCCTGGATGAGGAGGTTGCTTTGTCAGAGGGACAGCAGAAAATGTGGCTCGAGGTTGGGTTGGGTTCTGGGTGGAGGTTGTTGCACAAAGCCTTGAGCTCAGGAAGGAGAAGGGTGAGGACTTCTGCGTTTTCTTGGGGACACATCTAATTTTGTTGAAGCCAGTTGCACTCCTCCCCTCTCCCATGGCAGGCTGGACGAGCACCCGAGCAGCAAGTGGAGCCCGAGGCTGAATCACTTTGAATTTCGCAGGCTGCTGGGAAACCTGACAGCCATCTGGATCCGAGCCACCTTCGGGGAGTACAGTAAGTGCAGAGAGAGCCTGCGAGCACAAGGTTGGCTTCTCCAAGAAGTCTCCAGTTGGATACACCGTTGCTAAAATTTGTTAAAAGATAAAAACAAGTTCTCTAAGAGGGCAAAATCAGATCKCAAAGAGATAGGGTGGGATGGCAACTGATTGGGCTCCTCCGTTTGCTCGTGGGCGTTGCAGTAGAACATGCGACCTGTGCAGGTCCCGGCTGCGGGGGTGGTGCAGGCGGAGCTGCTGTCCCCCGCGGGTGACCGGCTGTCYCTCCCTCCCTGCAGGCACCGGCTACATCGACAACGTCACCCTGGTGTCGGCACAGCCCGTCCCCGGCGTCCCTGCGCCCTGGGTGGAGCGCTGCCAGTGCCCCGCGGCGTACGGGGGCCAGTTCTGTGAGAGCTGTGCCCCTGGCTACCGCAGAGACGGCCCCGGCCAGGGGCCCTTCGGCATCTGCGTGCCCTGCAATTGCCAGGGGGGAGGAATCTGTGATCCTGACACCGGTAAGAGAAGGCACCACCACGCGCTGCTTGCAGGGTGTATGGGAATGCAGGGAAGCTGCYTGTGTGCCTGGAATGAAGCTGGGGTGGTCGAGYTCACTGRCTTCACAGAAATTTCTTCACGTTCRTCAGGTATTGTAAGGGGCTACCCAGGCGTGGGTGGAGTCCCCATCCCTGGAGGCATCCAGGGAAGGACTGAACGGAACACTCAGTRCCCTGGGCTGGTTGGCCAGGTGGGGATTGGGTACAGCTTGGACTCGATGGTCTTGGAGGGCTTTTCCAGCCTTAATGATTCTGTGATTCTGTGACTCTGTCCATGATTATGATTCTGTGGCTTGGGTCTGGAATGTGGGGACCTGTGACACAAAATTCCTCAGAGRCTAGAAGCATTGCAGTCAGATTTGTTTGAATCAAAGTGGATTTAGATGATGCACGTTGGAGAGAGAAAAAGCATCTTCTGCTGCCCAGACAGCARTATTTCCTCTCTTCTGACTTCTTGTTTTAAAGTTAAGTGTGGCAATGCCTCAGGTTGGGCAGAGCTCAAGCAGCCTGGTTTAGTTGAAGAGGTCCTTGCATATTACAGGGGRATTGGACTACATGACCTTTAAAGGTCCCTTCCAACGCTCACCATTCCATGATTTTGTGCAGTGCCTGGTGTGGGCAGGGTGCATGGTGGGGCTGTGAAGAGATCYCATGGAGGATGCTGGACCACTGGTGCTTGTGTTGCGGTGGCTGGAGTTTTTGAGGGTGGGAGTAAGGTGCMCTAAGGCCTCTCCTTGTTCCTGCAGGTGAATGCTACTCAGGAGATGAACATGTGGGCAGTGGCGTCAGCTGCCCCCCGGGCTCCTACCGTGACCCCCGGCAGCCACACGGCTGCAGGCGCTGCCCCTGYGGGCCTGGCCAGGGCTGCTCCATGCGGCCGGGCAGTGACCAGGTTGTGTGTGATCACTGCCCTCCTGGAGCTGCTGGTAAGGCCCTTCTCGCTTCTGCTCTGCCTTTTTCCAGAGCTTCTATCCTCTCTACAGGGGTGCTTGGAGCTGGGCAAGCCCACCCCCCATCCTCTCAGCCCAGCCTGCCTGTGACCCTGCCGCTCCTGCCTCTCTGGGATGTTTGAGTCCCAAGGGCTGGGTGAACACACCTTGTCCTGCGCCGGGAGAAGTTCTCATCTCAATGTAACATAGATGGAGAAAGGATGGGTGGGAGCAGGAGGGGAATAAAAAACAGGGAAAAAACCAAATAGGAAGCGGCTTGACCAAGGCCAGTGGTGGGACCCAGCTTTCAAGAGCAYGTGTGGGGCACTGTGTGTTGGCTGTGGCAGTGATGACAGTGGAGCAGCCGCTGTGCCAATCCTGACGGGGCTGAACTCCCCCATTACTGCAGGGCAAAAGCAGCGAGGTGGCCTCTGCCCCCCGGGCACGAGCGTTGACTGCTGCCCATGTCTCCTGTCACAGGTGCCAGCTGTGAGTACTGTGCCGATGGTTATTTTGGAAGCCCGGCAGCTTCCCGGCCCTGCCAGCTGTGCCACTGCAACGGCAATGTGGAGCCCAACGCTGTGGGCAACTGCGACCGCCAGACTGGCGAGTGCCTCAAGTGCATCCACAACACTGCCGGCTTCTACTGCGATCGCTGCAAGGATGGCTTCTTCGGGAACCCCCTGGCCCCCGACCCTGCCCAMAAGTGCAGAGGTGAGAGCGGGGCACTGTCCGAGCYGGGAATGAGTAAGAAAACCAGTGACCAACAGTGGTTTGATGGGAAGGAGGTTGCTGCAAAAGCCAAGGMTGGAAGGTGGGAGTGGTGAGCAGGAGCTGAAGCACAGGGCTGAAGGATGGCAGGGCTGAAGCAAGGAGAGATGTGCTGAGGCTTAAGGTGAGACCAGGCTTCTGTGAAACTTTGTCGCTCTGACCTGCAGCCTGTGCCTGCAACTCAGTCGGTGCYGAGCCCCTTAAGTGCAGGAGTGACGGGAGCTGCATCTGCAAACCTGGCTTTGAGGGTCCCCGCTGTGAAGAGTATGAGTGCCCAGCTTGCTATGGCCAGGTGAAAGAGCAGGTGAGCATCTGTGCCAGCCCCAGGCCCACTGAGCAGTGAGGAGTGTGGTGATTTGCTCGCCCTCAGTGTCTCCTCCTGTCCCCCTCAAGCATCTCCTCCTGGTGCAAATGAAATGTGATTTCGAGCTTTGGCATTGTGCCTGGTTCAACTGATCCTTTGCCCCCCATCCTAAAATGAGCCTTCATTGTGGTCTCTGCCCTCGGGCCTGGCCGTRGCCCTGGCTCCGAGCCTGGCCTTTGCCCCGTGGCTTTGCTGTCCTGCTGGCTGATGGCCTGCTCTGTGGCTGCAGGTGGAGCTGTACCTGCGGCAGCTGGCTGAGCTGGAGCTGCTCCTCTCAGAGGTGCGAKCTGGCAGCGGGGCCGAGAGCCAGAAGGTGGAGGAGAGGATGCAGGAGGCTGAGGAGACACTGCGGAGAATCCTCAGGGAAGCCCTGAGCCTGCAAGGTACCACCTGCCTACCACCCTTGGCTGGGGCTGCAGCAGGGTGGGGTTTTCTTCCTGGGCCTTTTTCTCAGCAGTAAGTTTCCCTTCAGCCTTTCTCCCTGCTTCTCACCAGCCTCGGACACGTCTCTGGAAGGCCACGTGGCCAGGATGAAGGGTCAAGGGTACAGCTTCCAGAGCCGCTTAGATGAGATCAAGGCAACGGTGGAGAGACTGATGTCTCTGGGGATCCGGTATGAGAGGCAGGTGCAGGAGACACGTCAGCTGCTGGAGAGAGCCAGGCTGGATCTGGATCGCAGCGGGGCCACTCTCCGTGGGGTGGTAAGAACATCCTCGTRTGACACGAATGTCCCTGTGTAACAAAAAAACCCTCGTATGGCATGAATGTCCTCATGAGACACAAAAACCCTCATGTGGCACGAACATCCTTGTGTGACATGAACATCCTCGTGTGACAGTAACATCCTTGTGTGACACAGACCTCCTTGTATGGCACAAACACCCTAATGTGACAGTAACATCATCGTGTGACACAAACATCCTCATGTGACATGAACACCCTTGTGTGACACAAAATGTCCTCATGTGACACAAAAACCCTTGTGTGATACAAAAACTCTTGTGTGACATATCCTGGTGTGGCACAAACACCTCATGTGACAAAAACCCTCGTGTGACAGTAACATCCTTCTGTGACACTCTCCTGGTCTAGCCCAGGGCTGGAAAARAATCTGTGGAGAAAGCAAGGATTTAAAGATTATAGATACTGTTTGTGAATGTTGGTCCTTTCTTTRGGGTCAGGACCTTGAGAGGAGCTGGCAGGGGTCATTTGGGGTGGTGGAGATTTAATGTGGCTGTGATTGCCTCTTCCACTGCCAAACTGGGTGGAGAGCAGGGAAGAGCTCTCACACCTCCCTTCCTCCCTCCCTCTGCAGACCATTCCTGTTTCCAGCTTTCCTGGRGGCTCGAATCAGTTCTTGCTGCTGGCCCAGGAGGCTCTGAGACTGGCCAACAGGTGTGTTGCTCCCGCTGTTAGCTGAGAGAGGGGAGGGGTCCAAGATCCTGTTGACTGTCCTTTGTGGGAGGTCCTTGCCTGGGTTGACAGCTGCCACCGCCTCCGTGCCAGCCCTGGAGAAAGGGCACTTGAGGAATAGTCCTCAGCTGTCTTTGAGGGTGGAGTTGAGTGTGATTTAGAAGCATCTTAGGGATCAGAGCTTGTCCCGTGGATGTCCACTTGGAGCAGGGGGCTTCTGCCCTCCACAGTGCTCCTCTGCCCTTGGGAGATGCAGGAGGGACAAGCAAAACAGGGGTGCCCAGGGGGTGTTTCCCAGTGGGGTGAGCTCCAGCATCAGCAGAGGAAGCTGGTGGAGCAAACCCGGCTGGGAGCCCTCTGAGACGAGCCCCTTGTGTGCCCTGCAGCCAAACACAAGCGGCCAACGCCATCGAGCAGGCTGCCCGGGCGGCGCGGGACCATGCGGGCCAGGCGCTGGAGCTGCTGCGTGCGGCTGCCRCCGGAGATGCCACCTCGGGCTCCCTGCCAGGGATGCTCAGCAGGTGAGCCTGGGCTTTGGGGGCACAGGGGAGGGAGGAGGGGTTGCTCGAGAATCAGGGCCAGGGAATTTGCTGGCACATCTGAGGGGTGGAGRGGAAGGGTCAGCAGCTCCATGGGGTGTTTTCTTCCCACCTCACAGAGCTCAATGCTCCTGACTGCAGCTGGGGGAAGGGGTTTAACACTGCCTGTGTGAACAGGCTTCTGGGGCTGATTTCCACGTGTGGTTGAAAATCTGGGCTGGGTTCAGCATGAGGGTGAATTTAAGCCCATGGTGGCTCTTTTGGTGGGATTTGGCCTCTCCAGAGCCCACCGTGGTGGTGCTGGGGCTTTGCACACCATGGATGGGGTGTGGGCAGCAGCCCTGAGGGAAGTGRAGAAGTCAAACATGGATATGCAGGGGGAAATATTCAGTGGTTGAGCAGGGAYTGGCAGAGCCACCGTGAAACCTGTGAAGGTTCAGCTGCGTAGAACAACCTTTGGCTCTGGAGCAAAAGTAAGGAGCCAGTGGGTGCCCTGCTCACTGGAGGGTCTGGAATGTAGGGRGTGTTTGCAATTGGCTTCTTCTGTATGGTAAATCCGCATGGGGCCTTGGAGAGTGTAAAGGAGTCGATGCAGGTGGTGGTGTCTGTGCCGAGTGGGAGGCTGGCAGTTTGGCTGGTACCAGGCTCTCCAGCCTCACATCTGCACAGGTACAAGGAGATCCAGTCACTTGCTGGASGCCTGAAGGCTGATGCAAATGGAAYGGCCTCCAAGGCAGACAAGGCTTATCAGGGCAGCCTRGTGCTCCTCAGCTCCCTGTCCCACCTGACAGAGACCGACATCGGATCCTTTAAGGTGAGGGCTTTGTGCCTGTCAAGCCTTTTGCTCTCCCTGCTGCCCTCCCAGGGCTCTATCCCCGCTGGAGAGACACTGGACAGGCACCTTTCTGCCCCTGTTCCCCATCTGCCCGAGGTTCCTGGTGGGCACTGGGGTGCTGCTGGGACCCCACCACGTCTCTATTTCAGGAGAAAGCATCGCAGCTGGAGCAGGACAGCAGCGCCCTGCTGGGCATGGTGGACACCTCCACAGGCCAGATCCGGGGCCTGCAGAGCCGCGTGGGGCGCTGGGAGGAGGAGGCCAAGGAGCTGCTGCGGGGCCGAGAAGGCGACAGAGCGGTGAGGGCTTGGGGGGAAGGGTGTCATCCCAGCTTAGGGGACACGGCGGCCCCACCGCTGTCCTCTGTCCTGGCCTGGCTGTGGAGGGCAGCTCTGCCTGCCTGGGGCAGGATCAGAGCCTTCCTTGCTCTCCAGCCCTCGGCGTGTGTGGGAGCTGCAGGTGCAGGGCCTCAGCYGTGTCCCCTCCACAGCTGAGTAGCTGCTCCTGCAAAGATTGGGCCTGAGATCGCTTGGGATGGCTGGAACCTGCTGAGGGGTGSTGGCACCAGTTTCTTGTGGCAGATTAGGCTGTGGGAACCTTGACTGAGGGGCAAGGGCGGGGATTTGGGAACAGATTGATGGGTGTGCCCCGACCCATGGAAGTGTCCAGCCCAGCTCCTCCTGCAYTGCTCTGGAGCTGTGTGATGTCACTGCTCTGGGGCTGTGTCACTTCTCTGGGGCTGTGTGATGTSACTGGTCTGGGGCTGTGTCCTTCACCCGCCCTTTGTGTCCCTGGATCCATTGCAGAAGCTGACCCAGCTGCTGTCCCGAGCCATCCTGGCCAGGAACACAGCCCTGCAAGCCATGAGCTCTGGCAAYGCCACCTTCTACGAGGTGGAGCAGATCCTCAAGAGCCTCAAGGGTACCGTCGTAGGAACCCCTCCTTTCCCTTTCCATATGGGACCTCAGAAAGGTGGTGTGGCTTCATTTCCACATGCGTTTCTTCCAGAGTTCCACCTGCAAACAGGGGACAAGAGGAGGGAAGCTGCTGACGCCATGAGGAGACTGCCTATTATCAGCAGCATGGTCACCAGGACCAGGGAGAGGACAGAGCGAGCCCAAGGGATCCTGGGCAGCGCCAATTCTGAGTCCAAGGCRGCCGGCAGCGCAGCGGGGGAGGCCAAGGAGATCGCCACAGCTATCCAAGAGGTGAGCACAGCCTCTGGTGCTATTGCTGTCAGAAAAGGATTTGGAAAGGGAAAAACATGGGAAAACAGGAGATGGTTGGCAACTTCATGGTGCACCTGCTGGGTGGATTTTGAGCTGAAGTTTCTCCATGGTGGRTCCTGCAAGTACCACTTTGGCTGTAGATGATCTCTGCAGGCACATTTCTTCTGCAAAGATCTCTGGCATCTCACTGTAACCCCTTTCAGAGACCGGGGGGRTTTTTCCACTCCTGCAGCCAGGATCGCTGGCAGGCTTGTGAGGTCCCAAACTGGAGTTTATATGTTCAGTGCCCAGATGTGTGTTGTGATTGCCCAGGGYTGTGTGCAGGAGAGGTTGAGCTGTGCACATAGAAACAGCTGTCTGCAGCAACTGCTGGGACACTGAGGACAGCTGGCCATACTTTTGGGAGCCGGCTTCTGCCAGCTCCCCATTCTGGTGCACCCAGAACGCTTTTGGCTGTGCTCTGTCCCTCTGAAGGTGCCTTTACCTGCCCTAGGAGATCGTCCGGCTGAAGGTGGAAGCCAACAAGACGGCCGACGGCGTCCTTGCCCTGGAGAAGGCGGTGGCYGCCCTGCGGCAGGAGGCCAAGGAAGTGGATGATGAATTTGAGAGGAAACTCTCAGAGGCTGAGGCAGATGCTGYTGTGATACAGAAGGTGGGTCCCTGTCTCCCTTGCCTTGTCCCCTTCCCTGCTGACTCGTGGGCTTGATTACAGCTTACAGCCACTGCCTTTCCTCCYTCAGACAGCTCAGGAAGCTCAGAGGGCCCATGACAAGGCTGGCCAGGCAGGCGTGGCCGTGCAGGGAATGCTGAGTGCCCTGGAAGGTCTGCTGCGTCTGATGAGTAGGTTTTGCTGTGGGGTGTGGSTGGAAGTGGGTTCCCAGTGGCACCCAAGCAGGGCTGCTGGGAGTTTAGTGGGAAGATGGATTACATGATGCTTGTGAACAGGCTGGGCAGCAGGGTGCAGAGAAGTGTCYGGAAAGATCCGGTGCTCAGTCTCCACCCATGCTTTCCTATTCCTTGCTTTCCCACTGTCCAACAGACCAGCCTGGCGCTGTGGATGAGGATGGCCTGAGGCAGCTCGAGGCCAACTTCAGCAGAGCCCAGAGCAGGAGCAAGCAGCTGAAGGCAGAGATGTCGGAGCTGGAGCAGATGGCTGCGCTGCAGAGGGCCCAGCAGCGCACACTGGAGAGCAGCATTGATGACATCCTGGCTGATATTAAGAACCTGGAGGATATCCAGAGGAGTCTTCCTCCAGGCTGCTACAACACAAAAGCCATCGAATTGCCATGAACGAGCTCTGGAAAGGCTGCAGCTGCCAGGCTGAAGGCAGGAGGGCCTCCAAAAACCTGGCAGGACTGGCTGCCTTTGGCTGTGTTGAACCCACCCTTACCCTTCCGGTTCACTGTGGCAGATGAAGTTCACAGTGTCCCGCTGGCCCTGCAGAGTCCCTGATTTTTCAAAGTGCTTCATCCCTYGCTCGTGGGAGGAAGGGGACTCCTGGTTTGTGAAGGTGCTACTGTCTGAGGAGCAGCTCATTCCTATTTCAGTATTTTCTCTGAGGTGCAGGTGGACGTTGCTTTGTTTCAGCCTTGTGAGTTTGCACTGTTCGGAGCCTGAAGTTCATGACCAAGAGGTTCTCCATCCCCTGGGGATACCCTGTCCTGATCTGGCATGCACAGAAGGACTGGAGCCTCTGTTCTTGCTTTTGACACTGCAACTACCAGCTCCTCCTGTTCCCCACCAGGCTTTTCTCACCTCCAGCGAATCAGGAGGCTGGGAGCAAGCAGCACGAGAGGCTGCTGGGGAAGATGGGTTCTGAGTTGTGGCACTGGTGATGCTTCAGGTAGTGTCTCCTCCCAGGCTGGCAGTCTTGGCCTTGCTGGGAGTGGTGCTGCCATGCTGCAGCTCTCATTCATGCCTGAGAATCCCATCCCATCCCATCCCATCCCATCCCATCCCATCCCATCCCATCCCATCCCATCCCATCCCATCCCATCCCATCCCATCCCATCCCAATCTCATCCCATCCCACTGCAGTGCTTGGAACTCAGTTTGATTTGTTTAAAAATATTGAAGATGTCCTGAATGTGTCTCCAGCTCTGCTCTGGTGCTGCCTGTGCTCCCTCCTTGCCTCCCTCCCTTCCTCGTGGTGGTGGGGGTTTCTCAGAGGCTCAGGTAGTTCTCCAGAGGGGTTTCCCACTGCTCATCCCAGCAGAGCTCGGAGGAGCCAAAGAYCACAGTGCTGCCTTCACCCACCTGCAGATTTCATGTGGCTTCAGATCCATTCTGACACTGCTCCCACCTTCCTTCAGATGCCATGCAGGGAAGAAAAGATTGAGGGGGAAAAAAGTGCAACCAGATGCTGGAAGCTGAAGCTCTGCTGAAGCCCTTGCCCTGCGTAGTGGTGAAAGAGGGGGGTCCTGGATAGAGAAGGACCCTGGGGACCCACTCACCCCTCCTTGTCTCTTGAGTCTCTGACAAAGCAGCATCTATGCTTTTGCTTAATGATGTACCGAGTATTATGTCTGCTTCCCACTTTTATTTAAGTGAGATATATTTTAGCCCCTGGCATGTGTCCCTTCTCATGTTGTATGGCATAGGAACAGCTGTTATGGACCTGACTGTTTTTTCTGTGAGTTGAGTTTTTTGAAAGGTAGGAKGTCAATAAATTATGAATACTCTTGTCTAGATCTTGCCTACTGATTTCTTTTTTTAGGCTACCTGATTTGAGGAGGTTGGGCCACGGGTTCTTCCAGCAGTGTGGGCATTTGTTCTCTTAGTGCTGACTCAGTCTTGGAGCTGTTTTAAAATGACACCAGCAACATCTCTTTTTTTTGTTTATTACATAATTTAAACATTTTGCTGATAAAGTACTTTTTGTCAATGACTGTTTTTTCATAGAGCAACCAAAAAAAAGAAAAGGCTCCAAAACTGACAAAGGCGAAATTGGTGGGATGGTAACTTCAACCCCTTTCCCTCCCCACTTTATTTATTGTTTTTTCCCCAAAAGKCATTTGAAGTTCATTTTGCTTCCAGCAAATTGCACCGTTTAAAAGTGGAGGCTCAAAGACCAAACCCCACAAGCTTCATCCCAYCCTCCCCTGCGCCCTGGAAAGCCTAACCCTCACCTCCCCATGCTCATGTGGATCATCACAGATGATTATTCCCTTCCCATGCCCACCCAGTGACATTTTTCCAAAGCAGTCCCAGAGYAGAAGGTCCTGTTACAAATACCCTGTCCCTCTCCTGTCCCGTGAGTTTTGTGAGTGCATACACGAAGGTCAGAGCGGTAGGACAGAACAGGCTCAGCACCCCTGCCRCAGCCAAGCGTCGCTGTCCCCTCCCACCTACCTGTGGCAGGAGCACAGGAGGCTCTTGGACACGACACCTCCTTTCTCTCTCCATCTCCTCTGTTCAATTTTCTTTGTCTTTCCTCAGGGAAAACCCACTGTCCTTTCCCCMCCTCCAGCAGTGCTGCTCCCCGCGAGGTTCAGTCCCTTTGTGCATTGGAGGCTGACTGCCACCACTGCTGCTCCTCCTGCTTGGAGCCAAGGGACACAAGGGACATCTGGCAAGGAGGGGAGRCTGCTGCTGGGGTAACTCGTGTGTTGGGGTGCAGAGGGAGGGCAGGCTGACCAACAACTCATATGGGAATAGTGGGCGGGAAGGAGTCCAGCGAGTGTCTGAGGTATGCTGGGCGTCTCGGGGTGAGGGGTGACCACCACGGGAGCTCGGTGGGGTGGTGGCGGCGACCAGCTCCATTCCAGAGTGGCCGGAACAGGGTCCCCCACACCCTCGCCACCCTCATCCCATGGGATACATACACAACCGCCTGGAGATAACAGAGCTGGCACGGAGCGACTCAGCTGCTAAATTTAGAGCAGTTCCCAAACAAACCTTTCTGTGCAGAGGGAAATCCCTGGCAAGRAAAGACCTCTTCTGGCCTTTGGGTGAGTAACAGCACTCTTGTCCCTCATTATTTCTCTTCAGGGAAGGGCTGTGCCCTCCTGAGATGTCATTATCTACTGCTCCTAAAATCCTGCCCACTGCAAGGACCCGGTGGCTGTGGCCTTCCTYGTTCATCCGAAGCTGCTTGCTGTTCACCCCAAATTTAGCACAGAGTCCCACCTTTGGGGTTTACATGGGAGCTACTTGTGACCCTTTGAGGAYTTCTAAGGGACAAAACAAAAGAAGTTTCACATCTTTCCTTGAAATACCTTGGAAGACTCTCRGCTACATAGAGCAGAGCTCTACCCAGAGTGGTACAATGTTAAAGGGAGCAAAGGGAGAGGAGAAGATGAGGGCTAAACCCTCCTCCTTGCAGCGGTGACCTTCCCCAGGGGCTGTTCAGGGTCTGTGTGCCCTAGGGATGCTCAGCAACCCTTCCCTGCACAGGACTTCAGTAACTGTTACCTGTCCTACTTTTACCGTGCTCATCTCCCCTGGGCTCCATTCCCAGCACCTGGGCACATCWCAGGAGCCTGGCTTATCCCAAGGGRTGTGCAAAGCAGCCACGGCTGGTTTGGGAGGGGGAAGTTATCGTGCATCTAATGAACTCTTGGAGGAGAGGAAGAGAGTGGTAGTGGTGGGAGAAGATGGACCAAGCAGGAATGGAGAGTAAGGGTGGACCTAGCCAGGTTTGGGGCAAATTCTCACCAGAGGCTTTGGCTYGATACCTGCTTCTTTCTGCCTCCTTTCTTGGCTGCAAAAATGGCAGATCCCTTTCCAGGTGCTGTGGGATGCCCACTCTGACACTGGATCAGGGTAGAACATCACCCCAACATCACCTCCCTTGCCTAGGGGGTGGTTTGAGTTCTTGCAGCTGAGAGAAGGTGAGACACGACATTCTCTTCTTAATGCTTTGGCAGCAGTGCTTGCCAAGGCCTTTGTTCCCCTTCAGAAATGCCCTCTCCATTACTTTTTGGGGCAGGAGGATGATTTTGTTGGCTGGGCTGTCCTACGGACAGCCTAAGGAGGTTCCCTTGCCCTGGGGCACGGAGCCAAGCCTGCTGCCAGCAAAGGTCAGYGTTGAGAGGCCCAATGGGCTCACACTAAAGCTACTGAATAAAAAATCCACCCAGATTTATTGATCTTCAGTTGTGTAAGATGATGCGGAAGAGGCAGCCCCTGCTCCGAGCATGCTGGGAGGACAGGCTGAGGGGACCATTTCCCAGGGATGTGCTGGGAGCCCAGCGAGCACACTGCTCCCTGAGCGGCCCCTCCTTCCTCCCCGCGCACCCAGGGCAGGGCAGCGCCCCAGAAAAAGAGACCAAACCGTTCCCTGGACATGGCTGCACAACAGAGCGCTGGTGGTGCTGGGCGGGAGAGGCAGATACAGGCAGGAGGCCGTGGGATGGGGAGAGAGATGGACACACAGACTGAGAAAGAGAGAAAAGAGTGATGGAGAGCTGCAGACGGGAGGGACTTGAGGGCTGTCTCACTGCAGGGCCTCGGGCACTTAGCCAGAGGCGTTGATGTAGAGCTGGCTCTTGAGGATGTAGTCGATGACGGGCTGGCAGAGGTAATCCACGACGTGTCCATCGCCGTGCTGCAGGGCCAGTCTGGGGGAGAGAAACGGGTCAGAGCACACTGGGGTGGGTCAGGTGCCCGTGCAAACGGAAGGGCTGGTTCGGATCAGACCCCTCCCAWCTCTGCTATGGGAGTAGCCCTGCTTCACCCACCTGCTTTTGGTGGAGCTGACGACTGACATGGGGTGGTTGGAGTCATCCTTTACCACCAGGATGTTGTTCTGAAGGGGCAAGAGAAAACAGGAGTGGAAGGATGGCTTGAAAGTGCACGTTTACCCCACCAGCCTGCCCACACTGCTCCATGGCGGCCCACTGCTCATCCCACCCAGCAGCTGACCCGGAGGTCCCACAAGTGTCCCCCTRGGTGGAGGGAGTGTGGGTCCTCTCACAGCCCTCCCCAGTGGCACGTGCACCCACTCACTTTGTACTTGCGGAGTATGGAGGAGTGGTTCATGATCCGCTCGGGGTCTGCTCCATCCCGGGGCACCACCACGATCCCGAACTCYCCAACAATCACCTCCATCTGGGACAACACATGGAGAGCTTTACAGCCACCCYACTGTCAGCAAAGCCTGACGCTCTGCCTGCCCCACCCTGCCCCTTATAAGCAGGGCCTCAGTGTAGAGGGCCACGAAGAGGGATTTTGAGGCTGTCAGCAGCCTTTGGCAGAAACATGGAATAGCCCAGGCAAGTGGTTGGCAGCAGATTAAATTAAAGGGATGGRGTTAAATCCTATTAATAGATGTTGAGGTCAGGCTTTGAGGAGAATTTGTGGTAGAAGGAGGTGACAGCAGAAGAGATTGCCTAAGTAGAGCATGACCTGTGCCTCGTGAGAAGTGTTCATGAGCAGGATGGGGGTGCTGGCCCTGACAGAGGCTGGGGAGGATTGATATTCCAAATTTGCTGCTGCATGGGCACAGCGCACAGTCCTCACAGCCGTGTCAGGTGATACAAATCAGGCTCATCCAAAAGAGCTKTGGGTCAGCAAATTCCAGTGGCAGGAGCCCATGAGGGGATGCTGCTGCAAAATGCCTGTCCCCCCTCTGCTTTAACATCATGTCTGCGTCCTTGGGGCTGGGCTTTAGGGCTTGCCCCATCTCAGTTTTTCCGGCCTCTCAAAGGAGGTGCCTGCTGCCTAATTGCTTTTGAAAGTTTATGATTGAAGACATGGTAAGTGATTTTTGAAGGCTAAGAGGTTCAAGGTTTGTGTTCACTGACCGATTTCAGTGAGGAGCCTCCATAGCCAGYGTGGCTCCCACCACTAGGAGCTGCTGGTGGGGCAGTAGCCCAGTCCCTCCCAGGGCTGGTGCTCTCCCATGAAAATAYGGCTTCTTCCAGCAAGGACCAGCAGCGATTTGGCTCTAAATGAGTTCCACACCTAACAGCTGGACCACTTCTGTAAATACCTCATTTCCTATCTGCACACCTCACTCTGCTGGGATTGGCATCTACTTGATGTTGGTTCCTTCCAAAGGACAAGGAGTCRGAGCACAGCCTTTGGGAATCCCCTGAGAAGGCTTACCCCGCCACCCCTGTCACCCCAGGTGACATCCTGTGCCTGAACAGTGAGGACTTGGGACCATGGAAGCCCTATGGCAATGTGCAGGGCAGATGAGAGTCAGGGTTGGAAGGGAAGAGGCAGTGGGGATGGTGGGCACAGCTCCCGTCATCCCAAGGGACCTCAGAGTGTCCCGGGAGCACCAGCTGTGGAGATTGGAGGAGGAGGAGCATGGAGGGCTCCCGGCAGCACTGACTCACATCTGCCTCATTCCAGAGGCCGGGGATGCAGAAGGACTCCAGCAGGTCACTGCCACAGAGCAGCAGGATGCGAAGCTCTGCAAAAGAGAGCAGAGAAGCTCAGAGKAGGAGCTTCAGTGTGGGGCTGAGCAGGCACCAACCCTCCGCACTTTGAGGGCTGGCTTTGCAGCTCAGCAAGAAAATTGTGCTGTGGGGAGGAGGTTTCTGCTCTGACAGGCCCATAAATTTAATTCATTTACACAACTGCCAGAGAAAAGCCATAAACCCACCTGGAGGGGTGGGAAGAGGTGGCTACATGGGTAGTGCCTCCCTGTTTGGCATTCCCAGTGGCCAAAGCCTTTGGGGTCTGCGTGGTGCCCATGCTMGGATGGCTGTAGTGCCAGGCTGTGTGTGATCCACCCCATAAAAAGTGCCTCAAAACCAMCAGCAAGGTCCCCATGCAGAGCTCTGGGGGATGTACAGTGGGACTAAAACCTCCGAAGATCTTCAGAGCATGGGGCACCGTGGCTGGGCAGGCAGCTGAAACCTCTCCTGCTGCCGTGGAGGCTCTGTCAGGATGGGGTGACACCACCATGGGAGGCTGAGCCTGGTGGCACTGGGGGGACTCTCAGGACAGGATGGCATGGCAGGAGAGCTGTGTCTCTACTGCTCCCCCCTGATTTCAGCAGGACCAGGCTCAGCCCAGCTGAGCTCAGCTCCTGGTGCAGCCCTGAGCCCCAGCAGCTCAGGAGAGATGATCCTGTCCCTGACAGAKCTGCTGCCCCCGAGCCATGCCTAGGGGAGGGGAAGCAATGTGGGGAGGGGCCTTGTACTCACCAATCTCCTCGTATCTCATCACCGTCCCCAGGTTGGCATTTTCATCTGAGAAAGGGAAGCAAAAGAGAGGTGCTGGTGCCTCGAAGGGGGCTTGGGAGAAAGGTTGGGGGCTGAAGCTCTAGAGGGGGCTGGACCTTTCCTCTACGTACCCACAAAGGTGAAGCGCTCCATGGGTGGGCGAACGCAGCAAATCCGGCTCAGGCTTTCTCCCACTTTGCCCAGGATCTTTGCTAAAGGGGAAAGAGGAAAATTAATGGGAGAGAGGCCGTGCAATTAATCTGTCCAAGTGCTTCAGCCATCCTGGTTCTGCAAAATGCTGCCTTGCCTGGGTGTGGAACTACTGCCAGTATCCCCCACCACCTTCTATCATGGTTTTAACTCCCTAAAGTAGTCCACTGTGCCTTGAAGGGACCAGTTAGACAGTTAAAATCATGAGGAAAATCGTAAGATGTCCATTTTAATGGGCTTTAAGTACTGTTCCCTCTTCTCAGCTGATACCTTTGTGGCCCACATCCCACTGTCTTGTAGGAGATCCTGCTGATCTTGTAGGAGATCTCTCCTGCCCATTCACCCCTTGCATGCCCACCCTGRATACCAGCTGGCCTTTCCTTTTGCTGGCCTCACTGCCTAGACATCACCCAGCTGCAGTCCAGGGTGGTTTCAGAGCCATTTTAAGCTGTTCTTGTCTTCTGCCCTTGCTGTGCTGGATGCTGAGCCCTGCACCGCACCTCTGCCCCACCCTGGACCTGACCCACCTCCTTTTCCTCAGGAGCCTGATGAAAACCCGCCCAAAAYGAAGGTGATGGGGCACTGCTGTAACACATGTCAGCCCTGGCTGGTAGGTGGGGGTGTCACCCCTCTGCTCCCCATGCTGCTGCCCTACCCGCAGTGGGCTTGTTGGAGACGCTGTTGTTGTTCTGGTAGATGTTCTGCGGGGACTCGTTCTGGGGCTGGCCAATCACGGGGGTGACGGAGGGCGTGTTGACATTGGAGAGGATGCAGCCAGTCACTCTCTGCAATCAGGGAAGGGTGCAATTGGATCAGTGCTCTCACCACAGCARCCTCCCAAAACCCTTCTGACCCTGTACCAGGCCTCCGCCCTCCTGGTTCAAGGTCATCTTTCATGACACTCAAGCTCACTTGAGGGTTCCCAGTCCCATCTGACCCCACCAATGAGCCTGGGCCTGGCAGGACCTGTGGATAATGACTCATGTTTAAGGTGGTATCCATTTTTTTTTCTGTGGGCTGGCAAGGAGCAAACATGTCCTTGTCACCTCTCCCCATCCCTGCAGGACAAAGATCACCAGCAACTCCCTGGCTCCASCACCACAGTCCTCAGATGTGCTGGACATCCTGCAGGACATCCTGCTGGGCTGGCTGATGCTACTCCTGTGCCTCCTGCCTGGGCTGCCCTTGAGTTTGTGCAATGCTGCATCTCCCATCTCCTGTCTTTGGTTTTCTTCCTGTACCCGAGTGTGCTGGAGCTCTGCTGCTCCTGTCCCTGCTGTCACCCAAAGGCAGTCACCTTTCACCTCAGCTTTCAGTCCTGCCTGGAACTTTTCCTCCTGGGGTTTGTGCTCCCTGGGGTTTTCCCAGAGGCTGACTTTTCCTGTGGAATGTCTCAGTCGGGTTCATACAGCGTTATGGCTCAGCTGGTGAGTGGGGAGGCCCGTTCCCCCCATCCTTCCCCGCAGGGAGGAGAGAGCTGGGTCTCACTGATGATGTGGCTTGTGGCCACCCCTGGTTTTGCTCTGCCTTCAGCCCTGCTGCCCTCCTCCAGCTGGAGGCCTCCATTGCCTTCCACCAGCAGGGCAAGGAGCTCAAAGCAGCAGTGACAAGATGGGTCACCGTGTTCCTGCAAGTGTCCCCTGTCCATCCCAGCTGTGTTTCAGCTGTTGGTGGCCATGTGCTGTCCCCACGCCATCGGCCTGCTGCCCTCACAGAGTGGGGGCTGCCTCACCTTCATCAGGTCACGGTGGTGCTCCAGCACACTGCACGTGGTCTGCCAAGTGTCCTGGTAGCACTCCCAGGGGTCCACCCTGTGGGGGGCACAGCAGGACAACAGTGTCACAGCCCCTGCCTGGACCTAYTGGCCATGCCACCTCCTCCCCACTGGACTGGCCAGCAGTGCCACCAGAGCCACCTTTGCTCCCCCAGCCCTGCCATAGCCCCTGTCCTTCCTCCAGCCCTTCCACACAGCAATCGCCAGCAGTTCTGGAGACCTGGCTGTGTGCCTGGGCATCTTGGTACCCAACTGACCACCTTCTGTTTGCCTTGGCAGTGGCTGTGTGTCACAGCCCTGTTTGAGGGCAGCCCAAGATGCCTCTGGTGTCACCTCAGCCATCACCACATGGCAATGCTGGGAAAGTGAAAGTCTGCAGTGCTACACACGTCGGAAGGGACAAGACTGGAGTGAGAGCCGAGTGACTTTGGGTCTCACCTGGACMCCACAGGCTCAGTGAGAGGCTTGGGTGACTCTGACCCCGAGGGCTCCCTCAAAGGATGGTGTAACCCTCCTTGTCTATTCTCTGCTGGACTGGGAGGGGGAAATCTCTGTTTTTCAATTGAGCTGGGGCTGGGAGAAAGCAAGTCCATATTGGAGCTGTACCAGCTGGTGGCATCTCCGCTCCGCATGCAGGACTTTGGGCCCGTGGTGCAGGAAGGGGCAGGGGCTGTGTGGCACGGCAGGGGCTGGCACTGGCACTCACCGGATCCAGTCGGAAGCCTGCACGGCCAGCTGGCACATGGTCAGGCGGTGCCGGCTGGACACCAGCCCCTGCGGAGAGGTCAGGGAAGAACAGTTAGGGAGCGCCACGCTCCGGCCAGCTGGGGCCTGCAAACCTTCCTGGGGCACAGCATCAGGCTCACTCGTGTGACACGGACAGAAGGATTCCTTCCTGCTCACAGCAGTTTATTTAAGCTCCTGTTTGCTGGAGGGGAGGAGTCCTGCAGGGCTCAGTCCTGGCTACGTGCTGGGTGGTGAGGTTTGCTCAGCTCTGCTCTGAGCGCTGTGCTGCAGTGGGGCCAGACCCAAGTGGTGGTTTCTCCATTAAATTCCTGCAGCTTTCAGGAGATAGGAGACTCGCCACCCCTAATTGTACAAGTGCTTCTAAAGGTCACTTGTTCACATCATTTTGATCCCCACAAAAYCAGAAATATTGGCTCTGAAATAATCAGAAAGAAAAGCCCCACCAGCCCACCGCAACTGTTTTGGGTGGGAATGTTTCTCTCTGCTGTCTGTACTTCAGCTCAATTTAGGGTCTCGCTGCAGTTTTCATCTAAAGAGCAAGCAGGTTTTATCCTCTCCCTTCTCTCCGAGACTTTCTGCCCAAGGCCAGGGGCTGCCCCAGGTGGAGGAGGGCCATGAAAGGACCACAGGGGCCAGTGCTCACCCCTGACTGCAGAGAGACCTCCTGACACAGGGGCACAAGAAGGAAATGGGCACAACCCACCGTTTTCCCATAGGAGTCGTGCACGGGTGAGATGATGCCGCCGATGACGATGAAGCGTCCGGTCTTGTGCAGGTAATCCCGGGCTCGCTCTGGGGGGCAGGACAGGGAGAAGGTGCAGGGTAATTTAGCAGAACCCACTGAAYCCTGTAGCACCAGGGCCTCCCCAGCCACAGCCCAGCCGCTCCCTCGGTGGCTCTCACACCCCGCCCTGCCCATGCCCACACCCTGTGCCACTCGTGTCCCACGGTGTTAGGGATGTCCCATCTCAGGCTGGCATTCCCAGGAGGATAAAAAAGCTAGCATGGAATTGCCAAACTCTCTTGGTCTCCTATGTACCTAYCCCAGCTATTGAGACAGTAGCAGGGAAAAAGACGATAGGGAAGATAAAAGCAAAAAGGGAGGTGAGGTTGATGAGCCAGTAGAAGGAGCCTTTTATCTTCCAGTGGAGCATCTATAAGCACTTCGGATTTGCAAATAAAAGGAGCATTTCTGGAACAGAGGTGGTGACTTCAGGATCTTTCAGCCATCCCAAGATGTCACTGTGCATCACATCCTTCAGACATAGTACCCAGCAGCCCTGGGGGATGGGGAGAGGTCCTTCTCAAAGGGCTGCTGCCCACAGTGTGCCAGTGGCTGCCACATCCTGGCAGTGTCCAAGGCCAGGCTGGGTGGGGCTTGGAGCACCCTGGGATAGTGCAAAGTGTCCCTGCCTGTGGCAGGGGGTGGCACTGGGTGACCTGTTAAGGTCCCTTTCAACCCAAACCATTGCAGGATTCTAATTCACTTGGGAATTTTTTTTTCCCCCTCCAAATGTTGACATTTCTGCTAGGGAATACTGCTCAGCTTCTGTGTTAGTTAGAAGTCAGTTAAGGAAATGCAATTGCCATGGACCATTTTTCCCCMTTGAGGGCACAGAGCAGCCCCAGGCCTTGGTGACAGTCTGTGGGAAATCTGCCATCCTTAATACAGCCCCTTCCTGAAATCCTCACTCTGACTGCCTTCCCAGGGCTGGTGCCCTGGACACACCAGCTTCCAGAGATGGAAAAGCAGGCTTAAATCATATGATCGGTTCAGGGAGTAAAATTTGATTGCCTGAATTAGAGACAYTGAAATTATCCTTCCCTGCCCTTAAAATCCCATGAGAGCACATGCAGAAAAGCACAGTATGCGTGGGTTTGGTTTTTTGCATGGGCAAGGAGAAGCCAAGATTGATGGATCAGCATTTACCTTTATGTCATAATGCAATTTAAAATCCAAATCAAAATAAAAAGGAAATCCCCAGAAAAAAAAAAGATGCTGTTGAGTTTTAAACAAACACATCCTTTCATTACTTCCTGATTTGTCCTGACTTGATTGTCCTTGCCGTAAGAGTATTGAAAACACTGATCTGCTCGTCTTCACWTGTGGCCCCTCTCTAGAGTTCATTTTTCAGAGGCATTGAGCTCTTTGCATGTTAGCTCCATTTCAAGCACTCAAGGGTGGGCTGATGTATTAATTTGCCTTGAGTTCTTGGTGGCAAAAGCCAAAAGTTTTTGCTGGCTACCAATATCTCAGGGTCTGTTTTTAAAGAGCCTGGCACCATCTGCATGTCTCCAGGCCATGTGACCCATGCTGCTGGCTCATCGTCTCATCTCCAGCTTCCAGGAGCTCACACCAAATATCCAACACCCCCTCCTGCTGGAATAAAGCACCTTTGCTGCACAAAACAGGCACTGCCCCAAGATGCCCAGGGAAGTTTTGGATACCCCATCCTTGGAAGTGTCTAAGGCCAGGTAGAATGGGRCTTGGAGCAAACTGGTCTRGTTGAARGTGTCCCTGACCATAGCAGGGGRTAGAAAAAGATTYGAGATCYCTTCCWAGTTAAAGCCTTCTGTGACTCTATGAAAGCAGTGTTTTCCTGTTTCTGTAGCAAGGTTGGTATGACAGCTGCAGTGGCACAGATCTGAGGGGTGCTGATGGCCTGGCAGCACTTGGGGTGCTCTGCTGCTGGCAGAGAGTGGTGCTGCTGCTGCTCTGCCATCAAAACTGCTCAYTGGGGCTTGAATCTGCACTACCTTCACAGAAACCTGTTCAAATTAGGCTGCTGTCTAAGCTGCRATCTGCATTTTCAAGAGTTTGTTGTCTGCCTCAGAAATACCAAATATAATTTAAATAYGCATGGAGAAAATATATTCATTGATAATTAGATCCCTGCAAGAGAAGCATTTGGGTAAATGTGAGCTAAGAAGCAGCAGTAGAGAGTAGGGAATGGGAAGACCTGCTCTCTAGTTCTGCCTTGCCCACAACCTGCAGAGCACCATTTCACATCCCAAAATTATCTCTTCTTTCTTGGTTGTGGGGCAGAGCACATGGTTTGCTTGCAGGGCTGCGTCTGTCAAGAGGCTCTGCTTRTTCATGAAGCAGTCAGCTGAGCCAGCCCTTCACAGCTATCCACTTCAAAGAAAGGCCTTTAAAAAGATTGGATTTTCTTAAATAACACATCAAATGGTGTTTGGAGAGGGGCTGTGTTGCTGGTAGGGCTGGCAGAGGGACAGCAGCAGCTCTTACTGTTGGGGTGGTGGCAGAGGATCTGAGGCAGGTGGTACAGAGGCTTCAGGGTGGCACAAGAAAGACCCTGAAGTGCTGCAACATGTCCAGAGAAARGAACAGAGCYGGGGAAGGGTTTAGAGCACCCTTGAGAGAGCTTGAAGGGCTCCAGATGGGGAAAAGAAGGCTCATGYGTGACCTTCTGGYTCTCCATAATTCCCTGGGTGGAGCCAGGTGAGGATCAGGCTCTGCTCCCAGGGAACAAGGGACAGGACAAGAGGAAATGGGTTTAGGTTGGATAGCTGCCCAGGGCAGGGGTGGAGTCCCCATTCCTGGAGGGACTTAAAAGCCCTAYRGATGTGGCACTTGGGGACACAGTGGTGGCCKGGGCAGCGCTGGGTTAACAGCTGTACTCAACCTAAAGGGGATTTTCCAGCCTAGATGATTCCATGACTCTGTGATTCTAAAATTGCAGTGTTAGTTTGCAGCATCTACGTGCATCTTCACTGCTGTCACACTGCTGGGGTTAAGACTTGTTTCTATTTATTTATTTATTTATTTATTTATTTATTTATTTATTTATTTTTTATTTTTGAATCTCCTTAGACTCACACACTCTCCAGTGGCAAAAGAGAGGGCAATAGGCTGCTGTAGCCAAGCTTGTCCTGATGTGTGATTTCATCAAGCTTTGAGTCCTCCCTCAGCACAAGGCCAGCCAAAACTGCTTTAACCCCTGTAAGAGACCTCAGGGGTGCTGGTGGTTTATGGCCTGCCCTGGGCTGAGGGAGCAGTGCCTCCTGCCACCGTGTGTGCTCCTGGCAAGAGAGGGAGGCATGGATCCCAGCAGCAGCCATTCCTCGGTGTTTCTGGAAACAGGATGCTGGACTTGGATCATTGCTTTGAGTCCTGCAGCTGCTTTGATCTTGTGGTGCTTTCTCTAAGCCACCAGCTCCATGTTCTCAGAAAATATTTTTTTTTCCCCCCTGACAAAATTTTTTTATGCCTTTCATGCAAAATACGCTGGTTGTGGGGATCAGGTCCATGATCTCCTTGCAGATATGGCCAAATCCAAAGACCCTGCAGTAACCTTGTGTTCCTCTTCTCAGCCATACTCCTTATGGCCAGCAGCTCAGACCAATCACAGGAAATGCTCCAGGACTACAAAACTGAAAAGTGATGATTTTGTGCCGTTTGAATGAAAAAAACAGCATCCCTCCTCYCCAATAGGAAATCAGTCCTTATTTGAGAGAGAATTCCTTTTGGAAGTTCTCACTGAGCATATTTAATCTCAGTGTTAATCTCAGTGTTGCTGCTCCTCTGGTCCTGCTCTATCACCTTACATTGATGTTGACGAAACCAAATATTCCTCATGTTCACTCTCCCAAAGTGTAATTTCAAATTGTATTTGCTTTGCATTTGTGCCTGGTCCACATGCACCCCTTGGACAGGAGGTGGGACACGAGGTGCTGGGGGCAAGGCAGGCACTCTCCCCCTGTCCAAAATCCGTTCTCCTGCAGGGGAGAATGACCCAGATATGCCAGCACACTTTGTTTTATTCTCAAGTGAGCAGCACTTGCAGGACCTAAATGGTGCCTCCAGAGCCCAGAGTGGGCAGGGAGCCAGCAGCTCCTCTTGGTCTAATTGAATGATGAGTGTGTCTATATATATTCTCTGAACGTCCAATCAGGCATGCATCAGAGCTGCCCTCCTCTCAGAGCCCAGCTCCCCTGCCTGCCCCAGAGCCTTGTTCTGTGTCCCAACCAGTGTCTTTAYCCACAGTCACATCTTGGTTAGAGCCGGGGGAACTATCGGCATCTTCCTTCTCTGGGCTTCCAGAAGGGCCCTTTCTACCAGAGCCAGCCCTGGCTGCTCTTGCAGGGAGATTCCTCCTTTGGGAAAAAGCAGGGGAGTGATTCTTCACTGTGGGGTTGACCTGGGGGATSCCACTGTCCCACTGACCCAAATAGCCTGTCCTGCCTCATGCTCAGTGCCCCTCAGACAATCTCAGTCAGATTCCCAGCAGACTCCTGGTTGGTGGAAAAATCCCATTAAGCCATTAATACTTAAAGATTTTCATCTCTGAGCTAATTGCTCTGTTACACTTTCCCCCATTTCATTAGTCCATAGCTGCTACCAGGCACTGTAGAARTAACAAATTTGGGAAGGACCCCAGGTGTTGCTGCACATTTCYTTTATCAGCTTTTCGTAAGCACAACAAAAGCACTGGGCACTGAATGCCTCAAGATTTGTGCTACAAGTGGAGGCTGTGAAAGGCCCTGAGAGGTGATGACCTGACCCTGCCAKCCCACCCAGGCTCCCACCAGTGACCAACTCAGAGCCCCACAAGTAATGATTAATGATAATGATCATGCTATCACCATCTGCTGACCACTCCTGGCTTCAAGCAGAAAAATGAAACTAGACGTCGAAAGCAAACAAACTAAAAATAATAAAAGTGGGAGACTGAGTCACAGAGAGCCAACCTAGAAACAGGTCACCTAGAAATAGGTCAGCGAGGTGGGGCCTGGACAGGGAACCTTGCTGGTCCCAGGGGATCTGGGTT